AAATAGATCATATCCCATAAATATCTTACAAACAAAACAGTTGTTGATACCCTATGGTTATTTAACATAGCCATGGTATAGATGGCTCATTTATAGTTGGTTTACCTATTAATAGCATGCTGATTTTCCATGGCGAACTGTTAGTCATAACCAGTTGATAAATCCACCAGTGGTACTTTATGGATCCTGCATTGCCTCCAAGGGAGCCGCCGGTGGAGGAAGAGGCGCCGCGGCGTCGTTTTTCGTCGTGTCACCGTGGTTTATCCGTTTCGACGCCAAGGGGGAGAATCCAGGGGTTTTTTATTTCGAAAGACACAGTAATTGGTAACATGTGGTAACTTATGAAGGTGATTATAGGTTATGAAGCTTATGATAGGTTAATCAATTACTGATTAATATATGAAAGGTGAATCAATTACTGATTATAGGTTATGATAGCTAACTTATTATAGTTTATTTTCTAGGTTATGATAAATGGATAACCAATGGTGAAATAAACCAACATCATCCATATGGTGAGGACTGGGGAACTTGTGGTTTTATGATGTCTGGTGAATATTGGTGAATATATAACGAATGCAAGTGAAATCACTTGTATACAGGCTTCGCAGTTCCACGCTCATCCGAAGCTTTGGAGTACAAAAAGGAGTGCCGGCCAACCCATCTTGCATCGCCAGATCTGTGAGCCATAGTCCTCCTTGTGTGTGCAATCTCCGTTTCAGCTTGGGCATCCCTACCATTGCACTTGCATGGTAGCGGAGCCTCACAGAGGCTCGTGAGAAAAGAGAAGATCCAGGGGAACCACCTTCGCTACGCCAGGGTGGATGACGAGTGCAGGGGAATTGCCAAGAACCAAGGATGGAGTACCAGTTTGGGACGGAGAAGCAGCCAGCTTCCAAGCCTACGAGGAGTTGGCCCTGCAATGGGAGCAGGGAATTGCATGGCACAAGAGGTATCTTTGTGGACCTCGCCTAGTCAGTGAACTCACTGGCACGGCCCGCCGATTCATCATCGGTAAGAGGCCATCATGGGTGTCCTTCAATGGTGGCGTCCAGTACCTCCTGGAGCACTTACGTGGAGCCCTGGGCAGGCCTCAGATCAGTGACATGACGGACCACCTCAACCGCTACTTCAAGGCCACCAAGCGGAAGAAGCTGGAAAGCATGAATGAGTATGTCACTCGAAAGACTGAGGCTTACGCAAGGGCCCGACAGGCCTACACCAGGGTGGCGGAGCAGTATGACCGCCAGACATGGAGGAACTGGTCATGGAGGAGCAACCATGATAGCTGGCAGAGTTGGACTGAGTCAGCCCGAGGAGAAGAAGAGGAAGAGTACCACTCCGGAGTGGATGAGACTCCAGAAGGAGCTGAACAAGACCCTTGGGCCCAGTTTGACCATCACGCCTCAAGCAGGGGAACTCATTCCGTGACTGAGGACGAGCACTGGAAGCGTGATGGCCATGAACTACTACCAGACTTCTTGCAGGGATGGTACTTGCTGCAAGACGCATCGCTCGATGGGAATGAGCGGAACATGGTCCAAACGGCCTTGCAAGGGGACTTCAGTCTTCACCGAGTAGCCCAGGAGCTACGGGTTCAATGGCCAGAAGATGAACTTCGCCGACGAGATCAGGGCAGTCGTGCCGGAGCAAACTGGAGCGATGAAGCCCTATATGGAGAAGAAGAATGGGAACCTGAAGGTGGCTACTGGAGTCATCAAGATCTACAAGGACTCAACGACGAGGGCCGAGAGATCATGTGGTCAGCTGAAGAAGAAGCCGAGGGAGCCTATGCTATGTTCGACCAGGCAAGACGCACTTTGCGCGATGCCAGGGAGAAGCAGAAGATGGTCAAGATGTCAAGGCAGTACTACAAGACCAACACCTATCGACCGAGGTCATGGGAAAAAGGAGGCAAGGGCGCTGGGAAGAGTCAAAGTGCCAGCAGCTGGACTTGTCTGAGGTGTGGGGGAACACATCGCACGGGCCAATGTCCAGACAAGCAGGCACCGACTTCAAAGGCAATGGCCTCCGAAGAGGCGCCATTTGTCTGCTATGTGGAGAAGGAGCTCAACTACCAGACCGATGACCCAGAAGCTCTTGCGGCAATGGGAGCCACTGGATGCTTGAGCACCCAAGAGGCTATCGAGGCCGGCATGGGCATCATTGATGGGGGTGCCACGAAAACCTTGGCATCGGTGCACGCAATTGAGAAACTCATGGAGGTGAACAATCAGAAGCATGGCGACACCAGAGTCATGGACGTCAACCTGGAAGAGCAGCCCACCTTTGGCTTTGGCAACTCGTCCAAAGATACATGCGTCTCAACGGCAAAGATGGGCATCCAGGCCAATCAGAAACCAGGCATGCTGAAGATCCACGCTCTTGACAAGGGCCAGGGACCCATCCTCATCTCCGTGGACACACTGAGAACCCTAGGAGCAGTGATCGACTTTGAACATGACTTAGCAGTGTTTCGTAGGTTGGATGATCAAAAAGTCATCCAGCTCCAGCGCTCTGCGTCAGGCCACCAGTTGATCTCACTGTCTGACGACTTGTACAGCCAGGCCAAGGACTGCACCAGGCCGGTCCCCAGCCTCGCTGAGTTTTGCTAGGGACAGCACCTTTCTTCTTTGGAGCCTGCCAGAGAAAGAAAGGGCCAAACAAGTAGTCAGGCATCAGAGGTAGGAGGGAAGTGGAAAACTTCCAATGAGAACAATGGAGATGAGATCAGGGTTGAGAGTTTTGAGAAACAAAGTGTTTTTCCAAAGGGTCATGAGCATGAGTGCACACCTCCACAACACACACATGTGCATGGACCGCAGCCATTTTGTGAAGACTCCGACATAGCCCAACGTCCATCAGCCACCGCTGAGACTCATGGCGCCCAAGACCAAGAAGGACTTTGTGGCAGAGATGATGCAGCTGGGAGAGGTACCTCCCGAGAAGTGGGGGATCACAGAACTCAAAGTGCGCTTGGCAGAGCTGCGAGAGGAACGTGGTCTGAACCAGAAGAATCCACAGCAGACAGATCTGCAACAGTGGGTGCTGCTTCTGAACCGGGCCTCCCGCAAGAAAGCCGACCTCCAGAAGTTCAACCACGACCAACTGCAACTTGCAGTAGCCGAGAATGCCACCATAGCTCAGCTGCAAAAGCAGGCCATGGAGCGCATCTACCAGATGAGCAAAGCAGACCCAACGGATCCTGTGGGCTTTGGGGAGCACAGTGCCCTCTCTTACCAGGAGATCCTGGTAAACCAGCCCGCCTACTGCAAGTGGGTGATCCAGACCAGCTCAGAAGGACAGTGCTGTGCCCGTCTGGCACGACTGGCAACATGGCTTCTGGCCCAGAAGGACAAACCGGTGCCTATGCCCGTGCCGGTGGCCATGCCAACCAAGAAGGGCAGCAGTGCCAGCTCCGATATGACTGCGAGCAGTACGGCTGCTTTGGTCGGTGTGATGCAGCAGATGATGGTGAAAATGGACGAGATGAAGGAAGAGATCGACGAGATCCGGGGGCGCCCACACAAGAAGGCAGTGAAGAGCGAAGAGATGGACGATCAGAGCTCATGGAGTCCTCTGACGGAGACCTGAGAGGCCCCAACAGTGAGAGAGGCTTAGATATGAACGTCAGCAGCTCGGCCTGCCAATTGACACAGCAGGAAGGTAAGTTTCTGACTCCGGAGGCCAAACGTTTTTTTCAACATGTTGATAGGGATTTGGCTGCTGTTGCTTTTGACCAATTGTCACAAGAGAGTGAAACCATTCTCTTGGAGGTGGCCTGCAGTCCGGAGAGTAGGTTGGCTAGTGCCGTGCAACTGGCTGCTGGGCGAGAAAATGCAGCTGTCCGCTGCTCTCACTGGAATGGGTGCGATCTTGGAACGGATGCTGGAGTCCGCTTGGTCATGTCACAGGTGAACCGGTTGAAACCAAAACATGTTTATATTTCCCCCGAATGTGGTCCTTATTCCCCAGTTCAAAACATGAATCAAAGAAGTGAACAACAAAAGAAAGAGTTGGAAGAGAAAAGACGGATGGTGTTGAAACAATATGTTGGGGCTTGTTGTGTTTACCAACATTGTATTCAAATTGGGGTTCATGTGACATGGGAATGGTCTGAACGTTGTCAGGGCTGGAGGTTACCCATCATGCAGAACTTGCAACAAAAATATGGTCTTTTCACTGCGGTTGTTCATGGATGCCAAGTCAACTTGAGACACCACCAAAAAGGGGAACTCATGAAAAAGGGCTGGAAACTTATGACTACTCATAGAAGGGTTGCTGAATACATGAACTTGCCATGTAGGTGTCCACGGCAGTGCAAGCATGCGGTGTGCGAAGGAGACATGACACGGAAAACAGCATACTATACACCTGAGTATGTCAATAGGTTTCTGGCTGCCATCAAATATGAGATGACTCAAAGTCAGTTGGCGGAAGAACTCCAAGGGTCCACTCATAGGTTGCCACGAATGTTTGGAGCCGGGTCCATGTGCTACTGTAAAGAGGTTCATGTTCATGGGGTTCGAATGACTTGCGGCAGTTGTCATGTGGAGCCAGTGGAAAACACATGTGAACATGAAACAAACGGAGAAACGTCAGGACTTTCCCAAAGGCATGAAGTGTTTGTTCATGAGGGTTCTACAGGGAATTCCCTTAGTGATGGTATGTTGCAAAAACAGCTGTACCTGTTACACTCAGCCACTGGGCACAGTAGCGTAAGGAACATGGTAGTAGCACTCCAAAAACGGGGAGCCAGCCAGCGGGTTTTGGATGCAGCGAAAAAGTTCACTTGCGCTGTGTGCGCAGAGCGTCAGAAACTCAACACCAAACATGTGGCATCACTTGAAGCCTTGCCACCCAAGTGGGCAACTGTGTGTGCGGATGGAGGAACTTGGACACATGTGGGAACCAAAGAAACGGTTGGTTTTGCGGTTTTGATTGATGAAGGTAGTCGGTTTAGGGCTGCTAGGATTCTTAGCCGGGGTCGAAAACAAACCATGAGCGCTTCACAATTTCTTCATTACTTCAAAGAGGGTTGGGTCCAGTACTTCGGTAAGCCAAATACCTTAAGACTTGATCCTGCCGGAGCCTTTCGGTCCAATGAAGTTGAAGCGTTTTGCGATGCTGAATCCATTTTCTTAGATTTCATACCAGCAGAGGCTCACTGGAAATTTGGAATCTGCGAACAAGCCATCAGGGGTATCAAGGAGGTGATGAACAAGTTAGTCGAAGAGGATCCCAACATCATCCCAGAAGATGCCCTGACCGTAGCTGTCCGCACTTTCAATCACCGTGAAATCACCAGAGGTTTCTCCCCAGTGCAGCACGCGCTAGGTTTGGCGCCAGATGAAACAGGCCGCTTCATCAACAGTTTGGAGGGCCGAGGCCATGAAGAACTGGTCAGAAATCCAACTGGTGAGTTCCAAGAAAGTATCGAACGAATGAAAACAGCAGAACAAGCTCACTCAGAATGGATAGCAAAAGAGAGGATCAGTCGTGCCCTCAACAGCCGGGCCCAACGTACCAATCACTATCAGCCAGGTGATTTGGTATACTACTGGCGGAACCAACTCCCAAAAAGTATGACCGCTTCCAAAACCGGAGGTTTTCTGGGACCAGCAAGAGTGCTAGTAACAGAAACCAAGAGGGAAGCCGATGGTCAACTACGAGCAGGCAGCACAGTTTGGGTAGTGAGGGGCAGGCGACTTCTCAAGTGTTGTGTGGAACAGTTGAGACCAGCCACTCATCGAGAGGAGCTCATCGAACACATGACCACCGATGAGGACAAGAAGGCTCCCTGGACCATACCACGGCTTGTGGATCAGTTAGGTAGTCATGAATATGAAGATGTGTCAGATCAAGCACCAAGTCAACAGCAGTGGCAGCAAGCTCAAGAGGATCCACCGGATCAGCCTATGGCAGAGCCAGCAACACCTCGAGTGAGACACTGGACAAAGCGACCATTGGCCACAACCGCGGCAGATCCCACAGGAGGAGAAGCACCACCAGTGAGAGCAAAAGGAACAGCCTCAAGCAGTTCAGGGTTTGAAGCTGAGACTTGGTGGTCGCAGGTGCATTTTTCAGATGCGTCCGAAGAGTCCACAGCCTTTTGGAATGATCCAGATGCAGCAATGGAGATAGCCATTGACATGCCTACCAGTCAGCGAGGCTGGAAACACCTGGAGGGAGATATGACAAGTTATTTCCTGGCGGCAATGCGGAAGCGGGCAGTAGAACTGAATGAGAAGAAGATGGACGCAGAAACCCGAGCTCAGTTTGAAGGAGCAAAGGGGATTGAGGTGAAGAACTTCATAGCAGCCAAGGCCTTCGAGACCATACCAGTCCATCTCCAACCACCACGTGAACAAGCCATAGGAATGAGATGGATTTTGACATGGAAAGTGAAGGACGACGGAAGCTGTAAACCAAAAGCTCGAGCAATCCTCCTTGGCTACCAAGACCCAGCCTACGAACACCGAGCAACTACAACGCCAGTGATGACGAAGCAAAGCCGTCAGATGCTTCTTCAGGTTGCAGCCATAAAACAGTGGCTGACTCAAAAAGGTGATGTCTCTGGAGCGTTTTTGCAGGGGAGAGAATATCCCAGTGACTTGTTTTGTGTTCCATGTCCTGAGATTTGTAAAGCAATGGGAATTAGCGAAGACAGCATAACCCGCGTAAAACGTGGTTGTTATGGCCTGGTTGATGCACCCATAGAATGGTACCGTAGCGTTTCCAGTTACTTTGAAAGTCTAGGACTGATCAAAACATGGGCTGATCCTTGCATGTGGCTTTGGAAACCCCAAGGAAAACTCCGAGGGATGATTAGCTGTCATGTAGATGATTTTCTATTCACCGGTGGCAGGGATGATCCTGAATGGGAAAACTTGCTCACCAAAATTCGAAACCAGTATGCCTGGGGTTCATGGGAGACAGGGAAGTTTGTACAGTGTGGAGTTTTAATAGAAGAACAACCTGACAATAGCTATCACCTGTCACAACCCAGCTACATGGAGAAGGTGAATGAAATTCCAATCAGCTCAAGCCGAAGAAAGGAACAGCAAAGTGAACTGACTAGCCGAGAACAAACACAACTCAGGGCTGCACTTGGCTCAGTAAGTTGGCATGCCCAACAAGTGGCACCACACTTTTCAGCTGAGGTAGGTTTGTTACTGTCTGAGATCGCCCATGGATCAGTGGAAACAATAATCAAGACTAACAAACTAATCTATGCTGCACGACAGAGGAAGGATCACAAAATGATCATTCACCACTTTCCACAAAACGTGGAAGTGGGGCTTTTCGTGTGGGCCGACGCAGCGGGACAAAACAGAAAAGACGGCAGCAGCACCCAGGGTTTATTCTTAGGGCTTGCACCAGTGTCACTTTTGGATGGAAACATGGAAAAGGTTTCTCCTATATGTTGGCATGCCAACAAAATCGAAAGGGTCGTGAGGAGTCCGGGTGCAGCAGAAGCCGCAGCCGTAGTAAATGGGGAAGATGTTCTTTTTCATGCGAGGTACCAGTGGGGGGAAATTCTTGGTCCTGCGGTTGATGTGTTTGACATTAATACTACTGTGAACATGGTGGTAGGTGGTGTCATCTCTGATTCACGCAATGTGTATGACCGGTTACAGACTGAAGAGTTCAACACCCATGGAGCCGAACGAAGGACTAGCTTAGAACTCATGTGTGTCAAGCATGCTCAGAGGCATAACCATGTTCACTTGAGATGGGTTCACTCTGAAGCACAGTTGGGAAACGCACTTACAAAACCGAATGCCAAGGAGCTCGAGCATTTTTATCAATTAGGAAGTAGATGGCGGATAGTTAGCGATGACGAGATGCGATCCGCGCGAAAGCGAAAGCAAACTGGCATGGAGATTTTGGAAAATCAACAGCGTGCACCGAACGTACCTGCACAACGTGCTACCTTTGGAAAACAGGGGTCTGAACAGTGAAATGTTTTTCCATTTCCGGAGGGGGACCAATGCAAGTGAAATCACTTGTATACAGGCTTCGCAGTTCCACGCTCATCCGAAGCTTTGGAGTACAAAAAGGAGTGCCGGCCAACCCATCTTGCATCGCCAGATCTGTGAGCCATAGTCCTCCTTGTGTGTGCAATCTCCGTTTCAGCTTGGGCATCCCTACCATTGCACTTGCAACGAATATATGTAACTGGTCACTTCTTAGTGCAACTGGTTTATGACTGGTTTTTATATTCTTAATGACTGCGTTGTAATTCTCGAGTCGACTGAATGTTGTTCGAGTCGCTTGGTTGAGACTGGTGGATGATCCCAAGTGACGAGCATATGATGGTTTTCTGGTTTATGAATCAGTTAATAGGTGATAGACGCTATTGATGTTTGTCTGTATCATAGGATAATTAACATATCATTGTTGATGATATCTATATACACACCAATTGTTATCTATCATTACTATCTATACCTCTATAACAGATTATCTATGATATATGTACAATAGACAATATACATAGGATCATATATGACATACATATAAAGGATATCATTGTTGACAATATCTATACATACACGATATAAACCGTTATAATGGCCATATAAATCAATATACATCCACATTGAGAACTATATTCTATAGTATAGATAGGATAGTATACTACACAAACACACACATATATGTATATATATGTATATATAAAGATATATGTACGTATATATATATATACCATTTATAAACAATGTTATTCATAGTACTAAACCACAGATACATCACATTATTCACATCCTGCGATCATTCCCTATGTGTTCACCATATAAACCATAACAATGGCTACATAAGTCTATATATCGAACCATATATACGCCATCTATATATCCGTAGGTATGTCCATAGGTATTATATATATATATAGTAACATATATCTTATGTATATATACAGATATTAGATAGGATAATATAATACACATAGGATAATACACTACATTATATACTACATTTCTATTATATATTAGATAGGCTAATATACCCTTTATAAACCACCCATTGGACCTATATAATAGATCTAATAAAAGTGTATAGATACTAAATATACTAAACCACCTATTAGAGAACGGATAGAACATATATAATACATATATATATATATATATATTAGATAGACTATGGAACATATATATATATATATGTTCCATAGAACATACACACACATATACATATATATATATATATGTTCAATAGAACACACACACACATATGTATATATAGATACATACATATACACATATCCTACAAACCATAAGCACCATAAACACCAGCCATTTTCTTCGTGCAGGGCCCGCTGCTGGTGCAGCGCATTGCCTCCTCGGCTCCACCGCCACCGCCGCCCTTCGACGAGGCGGGCGAGGAGGCGCAGCGGCGCAGCAGTGCAGCGCACGGTGGTGATACGGGCATTCGGTGGCGGTTCTTTTAAACGTTTAAAGGAGGCTTTAAGTGGAAGATCAATGGGATCATCTAAATGATGATGTTTGACTCATAATTCACTGAGTTTATAACTATCATTATGAGTTACAAATGAGTTTAACTCAATTGTTTTTTTTGAGTTTATAATGATAGTTTTTCACTGGGACAAGTCATAAAAAACATGTGATTCATCTTGGTTGCCATGGGATAATCATAACATACGAATGAGCACGGGATGTGACAATTAGAATCATTTATCTTCTGGTAATTTAACGTAGCTATTGAAAATGGCCATTCATAGTGGATTTACCCATTAAAAATGGTGATTTTCCATAGCTATGTTAAATTACCAGAGGGTATGGGATGGTGCATGGGACCGTTTCATAATGTTTGGGGAAAAAGGTGGATGTATGGCCATTTCATTGAGAAAAGCTGGAGAATTGTCGCATTAAAAATTGGGATATGAAGGGGGGTTGATAGGATACAAACTGAGAATGGAATGAAAAGGGGATTTATGACCTACCCTCTGGTGAACTAACATAGCTATTGAAAATGGCCATTTATAGTGGATTTACCCATTAAATATAGTGATTTTCCATAGCTATGTTAGTTTACCAGAGGGTAATTAAATATGGAGATGTGAGTGGGAATCTAGTTGGATGTGATCGAACGCCTCATAAAAATTTGGGAAATTGTTGGAAAATAAACATTATGGTTATCTAATTGCTGAAAACTGAAGGTATAAAGGGGTTTGAACGGGAATACACACGCAGATTTGACTACAATGTGGATTTGAAAATTCACCAAACAAATCAATGTATGTACACACAGAACTGAATTTAATCCATCCTTAACTCCATTGTTCTTTTCTTTCTTGGCTTCAATGGGAACAAACAGGTGAATTTAAGCTATTTACTGGGATCTGAATGGGGATTTGTAGTTTGATATTTAGATAAATCTTGGGATTTAAGTAGGACCCTAAGTAGGAGCATATCTATAGCTATATAACTGGGACATGGATGGGGATATATATATATATATATACATATATATACATATATATATACATATATATATATATACATATACATATATATATATATAGAGATATATAATAATATATATATGTATATATGTGAATACGCATAGACATGACATACATTTTGTTGTACCTGAATATATGGGAAACAATTGGGTATCTAAAACGACGGTTACTACTTATTTGTGGGTTTATTGGGAATGGGGAAATCCCCAATCGACAATATATATATATATAAAGGATTGGGGATTGTGAGAGACTTTTCATCATGGTGTTTCACTTGTTTTTTGATTATCAGATGGGGAATATACCATGGGAAAATATGTGGGGAATGCCCGTCATTGTCATTTCAGGCTGGAAGTACGTTCATTTCTTCTTAGTCACATCCTGTTCCGCTGCCTGCATCCCCTGACTCTGCCCGTTCCTTCCCCCTTTTTCTTGGTGAAATTTGCCAATGACATTTGTTCCGCTTGTTCTGTTTTTGTTGATCCAACTGATTGTTCTTTACTACTTCTGTATGTAACCCGAAAAGAGCTCACTCCTTAAATGCTTTGCCCCCAGTTCAAAGTTGACTTATAGATATAAACCCAGCCATAGATCCACCACAAACCCCAGCCTGGGTATACATAAACCCACTCAGCTACATAAGATGGTGCAAGGATTTCCTCCACAGTCTCCTTATCCATAGGAATCGGGACCCATGATGCGCTGCCGATCACATCAGATCCTCATCCGTTGAGATTTTCAGAGATTTCGATTGATGGGACTATTCCCAGAGGTTTCCCATACTGCTTGGGTTTCAACCAAGGTAGTGCTATGGGAAGCAACCCTCTTCCAGGGTCCCACTTGATTGCGGGCTTCCAAAAGCCCATCAAATTTTGGGTTGGTCATGTGTCCCAATGATGAGGGTAGGCCCCAGTTCAAACGCAACAACTAAACCCTTCAGTAAAGTCGCCATGGAAAAACATTGGAAAAATCCACCATTTTTGGATCATTTCCCGGGTTTCCACCATGGATCTCCATACTTCTCGTGGGTTTAGAGGGTAAATCAGAGGTGCCACTATGGGTGACTTCGTTTACCACCCCCAAATAGGTACTTTTAATCTCCGGGATATTAATCATCTGGTTGGTGGTTTGGAACATTTTTTATTTTCCATAATATATGGGATAATCCTTCCCATTGACGTTCATATTTTTCAAGATGGTTGAAACCACCAACCAGTCATCATTAGGGTCCCCCAGATCTCATGCTGGGAGGCTGCTCGAAGACATTGTGTCTTTTTTCACAATGCGCCCACGCGAGTCAGCGAGGCAATGGATCCAAATGATCGGGCTGCATCCCAGATAACCCATTTATATGTGGAAGATCCCCGGTGCAATGGATTAATGAATTAGATGAAACTGGGTTAGAGCAACATGGGTTAGATGAATGGGTTATGTAAGTTATGTAATTTTACAGAATATTATACATATGGATTAGATGAATTGGGTTAGATGAATGGGGTAAGTTATGTATACACATGGTTTGCATATCTGCGTTGCTTCAGGTTGCAGACCACTTACAAAATGGTGAAACGATGCACATCCTGAATGATATACATAAACGTATAAACCATCCCTTTTTTGGATTAAAAGGCAGGGTTGCCCACATGAAACACATCGTATTACACTCTGGTAAACTAACATAACTATGGAAAATCACAATTTTTAATAGATAAATCATCTATAAATGGGCAATTTTCAATAGCTATGTATGTTAAATTACTGGGGAGTAACCACTTGGATCATTATTGGACCTGCCATGTGGGTAGTTGATGCAATCCCTATTTTTCACCCTTAAGGAGACCCTTCAACAGTGCAGTACGATTGCGGAAAGACTGTGAGAAAGTAGTGTCCCTTTTTCCGGTGTGGTGGTTTTCCATTATGACTTACCAAGTCGGATGATGCTGCAAGTAAGGAATGTTTTGAGAATGATGGCGGGCATCAGCAAAAATCAGGAACCAGGGAACTAACAGGAAGAGTACATTTTTAGCGCTGTGGGTGCAGCAAACATAATGAGATGGCTGAAATTTATTCGAGGCTGCTGGGATAGCCTCCAGTAAACAAAGATGAGAATGGGAAATCCATTGTTTCTACATGATTGGACAGAAAAAAACAACATTTGCTGGGGGAGTTATCTTGAGGATAGCAAAACCACAATGAAATAGACAGTTCGTCCTGGAACTGCCGCAATGACTCTTCCTTGGTGGTGATATGCTTCCCCACCTTAGTTTCACAAAACGGACTTGAGAGAAAAAATGCAGAAGAGCCTCCCAAAGGGTGGCACATGTGGATTTCGAAAAAGACTTGGGTTTCCTATCTTACTTGTATTCAGTACACTCTGGTAAACTAACATAACTATGGAAAATCACAATTTTTAATGGGTAAATCCACTATAAATGGCCATTTTCAATAGCTATGTTAAATTACCAGAGGGTATCCCTTCAGCGCAGCCTCAAAATACTTCAGGCCGCGTTGAAGCGCTTCTTCGAGCGGGCCGGGAATGTGCGAAGGCGGGGGATGAAGTGGGGACTTGGGGGATGAAGATGAAGAGAATGTCCAGCGAAAAATTTCGACTTCAACGGTATTAATGATGGTACCCTCCAGTAAATTAACAGTTCGACCCTGCCAGATAGGGGTTGAAAGATGAGTTTCCTCTAAAAATTGGTGATTTTCAGGGTCTATGTTAATTTTCCAGAGGGTATATGGATGGTTACCATTGCCATGATTACCCTCTGGTTATGTCAACAGTTTGCTATTGAAAATGACCCAGTCGAAACAATTGATTTACCCATTAATAGCATGGTGGGTCTTTCCAGTTCGCTATGTAAACGTTTACCAGAGGGTATAACATATTATAACTATAACTAGCTATTGATACTTGAAGGACTTGGGATGTGCATCCCAGTTTCACCCATTTTTTAAATCGGAATCTGTCTGAGCATTCCAGTATCAGTAACCACTGTTAATCAAGCAGGGTTTGCTGGAAGTTTCCCCTATTTACTTCGATGTTTTTCCTATAAAATCTGTAAATGCACATTTACTTCGGGGATTTCCCAACTAATTAACCATGTTTTTTTTTGGACGCCGGAGGGCAACCACTAGCCTCCGGTTATTTTACACGTGGCTAGCTGGGAAATTCAGCAAGCCAGGTTTGACATTGGAGGATTAAATTTCCGTTAATCCCATGTCCCATATCCCATGGCATGATATTCCTATCGATTTCCATACTGATCATGATATTCCTAACATTCCAAAAAATATTTTCCTAGAGATTTCCCATGAAAAATATGAAACATCCCCTATGATCATAGGTTTTTCACGGAGGACACCGCAGGTTTTTTTTGTGCCGCCGCATATGACGAAATCGCGAGGCTGCGCATTTTCCAGGAGAATGGCATGTCCAGAGGGATGGGTCCGGAGCTCCAGACATGATGTCTACAGTAATGTATATGTATATATATATATATATACACACCATCTGGTTATGACTGACATAGCCATGGAAAATCACCAGTAAATTAACATAGACCCATAGCTATGGAAAATCACCATTTTTAATGGGAAAATCAATGAAAATCAACTATAAATGGGTAAATTTTCACATAGACCCTGAAAATCACCAATTTTTAGTGGAAACTAACCTTCCAACCCCTATCTGGCAGGGTCGATCTGTTAATTTACTTCAGGATATATATATATATATTACATACACATTTTCAAAACTGGGATTTATATATGGTGATTATAAACCATTACAACTATATATTTAGATATAGTTAGATGATATACTGGTTGGTGGTTTGGAACATATACTGTATTGGGATTACTAAGCCCAACTGACGAAGTCCATCATTTTTCAGAGGGGTTCTAACCACCAACCAGTATATTACATACACATTTTTTTCATTCTCATTATTGTTACTCTAGTATAGTATAGTTATATATTGTTATCCATGATTGTTATTGTCATTTTGATCAATACTATGTTTTTTTAGTGTTGTTATTATATATTTTTTTTGAATGAAGTTGACTAGCCAGATATCTGTGGATGTTTTTCAACAATTTCACCAAGCGGCGTCTTTTGAACAGATCTTGGTGAGTGCTCCCGTAGGCTTCCCCCAGGCTTTCCCCAGGAGAATACAGCTACAGGTCAGACCGATACCCTGATACATCTTTATTATGCTCGCATGTTCAACATGTTCCCCTTCCAGAAAGATCAGAATCAGGCAAGGATTCTGTTGGAATGTGAATACCTCATTCTTGGGGATGCCTTGATTCCTTGCTCCGATTTGAACAGATTTCCAAGGCACGACACCAGCTATGCTTATCTAACAAAAAATCATCGGATGGGTTTGTTCCGCAAGAAACCAGGGTTTTTGCCATGAAATCATTGTGTTTTCATCATTTTCTACCAATCCAATTTCATCAACCTGATCGAGGATGATTGGATAGGGATCCCCAAAGATTTCCCCTTGATGAGTATAGGAAATTATAGGAGACCCAACATCTTGGGGATCACACTTCATTCTGGGAAGTCCTATTCATTTTGACGTGTTTTTCATGATTCTCACGTTTGGGTTGTTGAACTCATGGCCGATCCCAGCTGAGGTTTGTGTGAGTACATGACCCCTGAAGCTGCACTGGCATCCTGTCGCGAGTTCGGGATAGGGAGATGTTTTTCGCTGGGACAAGTATCCATGTGGGCAAGCCAATAGTAAAACTACCTTTCAGGGATGGTTTACCCTCTAGGAAACATACAAAAAACTATGGAAAATCACAATTTTTATTGGGACAACTCACTATTTCTATGGCCATTTTCAATAGCTTTTTGTATGTTTACCAGAGGGTATATCATCTAAATGTGGTAATTTTGAGGATGGTTTCTTCTTGGGTTTACCACTAAGTGGTGACATTGAGTGACATTCACAACGACCCTCCCACAAATAATGGTTCGTAGATTTCCGATATATCAATCACGATCCTTAAATTCTCATCTAGTTTATAGTTTATCATCTATGGTTGACTTTCTAACTTTCTGGTAGACATTTGCCCAGATGGGAAGGTAGATAATGGCCCCATTAGAGCTACCCGTGTTGTCCTGCAAGGCCAGCAGACTCGAAACGGGTTGTGAGGCCTCAAATTTTGTTTGTGCACTTTAGCTCAAGATCCAATGGTTCGTTATAGATGTCCCTATTCTTGCATGTCATAGATTGCCAATAGCAGAGACTGATTTTTTTTTGCGTTTCTGTCTGTCTGGCTTTGGGAGTGGCGCTTTTCGTTTTTTGGAAGCTGCTGGGTCGCGCAACTGGGTTCAAATTACCATGGTGCTGGTTGATTATAGAAAGTATAGCATTGTATCATTGTGCGGTTTCAAGAATCCCGGCTATGATTGTAGGGTTATACTTCAACATTGGGGATCATCATAAACCATGAGCAGGGATTTCCAATCGATTTTGTTTTGGGGACTTCCTAATACGTTTCCAATTGTTGGTTCCATGTATATGTAACATTAATATAGATGCATTCCATCATTATACTTCACTATATCCTCATCATTTTGCCATTATATGTTCTAGATTCTAGATGGTATATACTTCACTATATATCCTCATCATTTTGCCATTTTCCATTAAATACTTCATTACCCTCTGGTAATTTAACATAGCTATTGAAAATGGCCATTTATAGTGAGTTTTCCCATGAAAAAAGGTGATTTTCCATAGTTAAGTTAGTTTACCAGAGGGTATATCCTCACCATATCATTTTTTCATCACCCGATTAAAAAAAATCCCCACTGTGAGTGATGGTCCCCGATCGTCATCTCGCAGGTCATATCCTCATCTGAAGTTCATGTTTCTCCATTGAACTGACGATAATTTCCCATATCCCATTTGAATGGTTATTAATGATAGCTAATAATATATATATATATACATGCACATATACATACATATATATATATATGTATCCACCTTTAATTATTTAATGGTTGGGTTTCTCATCAATTACGTTATCATTATTTCATATACAGACACCTATATCCGGTTGTATTCTGGGTGACATCATTTTCCCATCATAATCCACAATATCCCCTGTATATCACCGTTGTATCCCGATGAATGGTTGGTTACATCACCTTCAGTTTCTGGTTTCTCTGTATTTGTTGGGGATTCTCCAACAGCTAAAACCTTGCCGCTTGGCCGCGCGGTCCATGACCTTCGGGTCCAAGAGGGTCGCGTTCTCCCATTGGGATCGGGCCGTATTCCGACGCAGCTCGGCGCAGTCTCGTCACCGCGAAACATGGGGAAAAGGGCAGAAAGTCAAGGGAAAACGGAGGATTTCCAGGTACCAGGGGGTAGTATCTAGTTACTAGTTGCAAAGGTAACTGAGGTTCTAAAGTCCCCAAAATGTGTGTCTCTGTAATTAACTGGTTATCATTATACGAAAAACAACGTACTAACTTGCATCCTGATGGGACTAACCTTCCCATCAGGTTTCTCATGGGGAAACTGCCATGGCTTTCCAATGGAAAAAAACGACCGCCCAAGTATTTGGGGTCAAGATTTTTTTGTCCGAAACTGGCTATGAATCTGGATCTCATGTTCAATTTTTAGGGTTCCGTCTATTCCATTTTATCCCATTGTTTTCCCAGTAGATGCGAGAAAATCTCCCAGTATATCCCAGAACTTCCCCAAAAAACATCCCCATAATCCCATCATAGTCTTATGAAATACCCATCATAGTCTCCCCATGATTTCTGCCCTCAGCAGTATTCAGCAGTATTCACTGAAAAAAATATCCAGCTGGCATCCCCCATGGTTGATGATATCTCCATTCAGTCCATTCACATTATATTCATTACCCCCTGGTAAACGTTTACATAGCGAACTGGAAAATCATCATGTTTAATGGGAAAATCCACTATTTCGACTGGGTCATTTTCAATAGCGAACTGTTAAATTACCAGAGGGTATATTCCATCCTATTCCTATGATATCCCCAGTTCCCCAGTATATCACCGTGATGGTTGGCTATGGCTCAACAATTTCAGCCAAATGTTGGCTATGAGTTGCACTAATCTCCCAGGCGATGGTGCAGAGATGATACAGACGCATGATGTAAAAAATGTCACGGGGACGAGGGGCTCAGCCTATCACATGTCATGGTGGTACATTACTGTATACCCAAATGCCCCAGACATATCCCTGACATATCCCTGACATATCCCTGGCCGAGGATGGTTTGTAAAAGGATGTTCATTTCTCTGTTGTCCCTGTTTGCTCCTTGGCACTGGGTTAGATCAAGTTAGATCACTGCCCAGTCGTGATCTGAGGATTTACTACAGAACTCTAGTGAATTTATGGATATGTTATGGAGACTTGCTAGGGGTTTAATTGGGTTTAACTGGGAGTAACTGGTTTTTTTCATGATCAACTTCAACAGGGATCATCTGACAGTGATTTGTGATTGTGTTTCTTAGAATTTTTAGGCACCCCAAAATCATCATTGATGTCCCCCATGACCAATACCTTTGATCATAACTTGGGGTCTTTCTGTATGAACTGCATTTGCCTAGACTACTCAAGCTTGTTCAGCTGATCGAGGATTTTTCCGGGAAAACATCATGAACAACCGGGACCTATTTCCAGGTTAGGAACTCATGACATTTGCCGCGGATAGATAGAGACAGATGTCCTTTCCATCCTTTTCCTACTCATTTGGTTGATTATTGTTTTTTTTTCTCCTTTTTTGATTATTGGAAAAAACTCACTCCTTTTCCGTGGAAACATGAGAATTGTACTCATGGTGTCCTACTCCAAAACATAATTTTCCATCTATTGTTCTATCTATATATCTATATTGGACTATGATATTATTGGGACTCTATCTAAATTCCATGATACTGTAGATAATTGCCTACTAATTATGATAATGTATCTATGTATTTACTATATTTACTATCCGTGGATCATGGTGTCCTACTCCAAAACATCGTTGTGAAGTCATTTTCCATTAGCGATGGTCACAATGGGAACTCAATGGTTCATCCCTACAAGATGGCCCTCAAATCGTTGCTTCGAAAAAAATGGTGAAGTATAGGTATACCAAGTATAGTTATATTATATATGGTTAATAGTTATATCAAATATAGTTAACTATAGTCAACTATAGTTAATTATAGTTATATCCCCTATAAACCAGAGTTAAGCGCGTTATAAATCAACTCAGCTCTCATAAACGGGTGCCTCACCCTGTATGGTCTAATGCTAAGTTTCAGTTTTTATTGGGAAGCCCCATGGTGGGGGTACAGAATCAACCACAATGATATAATGATATATGTATACTGCATATTGTACATATATATATATAAATATATATATATAACACATTACGGAAGATGATGGGATACTCAATATAACCAACCATGGGATAACCATGGGAATTCTAAGGGCATTTTAAGCCATTTCTAAGGGCACCATCGTTGGCGTCGAGGTAGTGAGGCCCCATCTGGCCTATCGGATACAGACGGTCTCCAAGTTCTGGCAGGACTTTCAACCAGACAGAAGAGTGATTTCCGACTTCTTTTAGTGTCATTGTAGTTGTATATATATATATATAGTTAGGTATATATATAGTTATGTATATATATATAGTTATGTATATATATATAGTTATGTGTGTGTATATATATATATGTATACGTAGATCCTTGAGAAGGTTTTCACCACCCAGATATGAGCAGCAAAACCAAAAATGGGATTCATGAGATTTGGAATGGGATTCATGAGATTTAGTATGAGAAATGCTTTGAATCCATCGGTGTTTTCCATTAGGTTTTGAATCCAAAAATTAGGATTTTCCAGAAGGGTGTTGTTTGATAGGGGTGACCACCCATGTTGATTCATAGGGAGGGAACAACAAACTTAACATTCAAAAACAAGTGGGTAAGTGGGAAAAATCAACACAATAATATCGGTTTGTTGTTTGATTGTGGGGTTCTACTACCTATTCGATCTATTGGCCATTGAAAAGTGGTATGAATCAGAAAATCTCATAGAAAGCAATTTCAATAGAAATTCAGTGATATTCTGATGACAATCGATCTATTGGCCTTAAAGAAAAAACAATGAATGCCCTTAAAGAATTTCTTATTGAAAAGGGATCTGCCAGGGTCTGCTGGAATCGCTGACAAACGCTGGGTTTGTGGAAACTCCACACATTAACAAAGAATCATGGCCATGTTACCAGAGGAAACGTGGCAATGGATACCCTCCGGTATCATCAAACGTGGCAATGGAAAATTCCGAAAAAAAAACTCTGGTAAACGTTTACATAGCTATTGAAAATGGCTCAGTCGAAATAGTTGGAATTTACCCAGCTACATAGCATGGTGGATCTTTCCAGTTCGCAAACTGTAAACGTTTACCAGAGGGTAAATGAAATCATCATTAATCACCATCATTAACCATCATTAACCATCATTAACCATCATTAACCATCATTAACCATCATTAACCATCATTAACCATCATTAACCATCATTAACCATCATTAACCATCATTAACCATCATTAACCATCATTAACCATCATTAACCATCATAAACCATCATTAACCATCATTAACCATCATTAACCATCATTAACCATCATTAACCATCATTAACCATCATCAACCATCATTAACCATCATCAACCATCATCACTAACCATCACTAACCATCATTAACCATCATTAACCATCATTAACCATCATTAACCATCACTAACCATCATTAACCATCATTAACCATCATTATCCATCACTAACCATCATTAACCATCATTAACCATCATTAACCATCATTAACCATCATAACCATCATTAACCATTATTAACCATCATTAACCATCATTAACCATCATTAACCATCATTAACCATCATTAACCATCATCAACCATCATTAACCATCATTAACCATCATTAACCATCATAACCATCATTAACCATCATTAACCATCATTAACCATCATTAACCATCATTAACCATCATTAACCATCATTAACCATCATTAACCATCATTAACCATCATTAACCATCATTAACCATCATTAACCATCATTAACCATCATTAACCATCATTAACTATCATTAACCATCATTAACCATCATTAACCATCATTAACCATCATTAACCATCATTAACCATCATTAACCATCATTAACTATCATTAACCATCATTAACCATCATTAACCATCATTAATCACTGGGAACAAGAATGAAATTGGAGATCATGACCCAGCGCTCAAGAGCTCGGATGATATTTTCTAAAGTGAGTTTTTTCAGCAACCAGCTGGTGTGGTACGATCCAAACATGGTGTGGGCTGAGCCATCCAAAACCTGTTCGATCTTGGTTGGATATGCTTGGGATAGATCAACTACGAATTGTCAATGCTGTGAGTGACCAGAGAATTTATAAGCTTAAAAAATGCTGTGAAAATCGAAGTATGAGTAGATGAAACCCAATGAATATCATTTCAACCCCCATAGAACCTTCATACTGGGGATGAGAACCTTCATACTGTGGACGGAAGAAATCCTGTTGATAGATGGTAAACATCCCAGAAAATTTATAGCGTTCCAACCATCCCAAATTGGTGGTGCAGGATTTCGCTGGCCCATCCACAGTATCATACATCTTCCCTATTATTTATTACCAGTATATATTAGCCATTATTAACCATGATTAACCATTATTAACCATTATTAACCACTATTAACCATTATTAACCATTATTAACCATTATTAACCACTATTAAGCATTATTAACCATTATTAACCATTATTAACCACTATTAACCATTATTAACTATGAATCAGGATGAGGATGTCTCCGTAAAGACATGGACGTGGAACTCTGGAAAGGCGCGGGAGAGTGGTGGGATTCCTGGACGATTCGATTAGCGAAGGTTCAACATAGAGTTATTTCTAAGTTTAAACAAACGCATGGATATGTATGTATATATATACATATGTATGCATATATATATACATATATGTATGCACATATATATATATATATACGTATGCATATATATATATATATATGTATATACATATATATATATATACACGCATTTCTGTATTTGTTGAGTAATAAGTGCAAATAATTGTAAATACTTCGAATATGGGGTCACCCAGAATGCGCAAGATGGGGCGTTGCCACGCCCCTATTTTTCACCACCGGTGGAATCCTTGTAAACGATGGGAAAATTGAGTGGTTTGGAACATCATTTTTTTTGGGGAAAGCCATAAGATTTTGAGATGATGACTGCATATGATTGAAAATGATTCATAAATATGCTCTTTGGATCTCATTTTTTCATGGGTTTCAACTTGTTTTTTTTTTAATATCCATTTTTGGACATCCAATCGAATTCCCATAGGAACTGAATGGACCAATCCGCACCGGTTGGTCATTGCCTTTTTCGGGTTCCAACCATTCTAGCCATGGGGCCACCTCACTAGCCACGATGATGGCAGAAGGGGGAAGCCGTCCCCAAGTGACTGAACCAATCTGGTGTGGGAAATGTAATAATTTTCTCGTAAATCATCTCTTGGACTGTGAAAATGGTGTATACTTTTTGTCACATGTGGAGGAATATTAGTATTGTTTCAGCTCAAAATGAACTCTTCATTTGGGGTATCTAAGCTGCGAATTTGGGGATTTCTCCGATTGATCTGTTTCCAGAAAGTCTGGGCAAATGGTAGGTCTTCAATGATCCACCAAATGCCAAATGCCAAAGTCCTTCCAGAGTGTCATACACTGGTTGGTGGTTTCAAACATTAATTTTATTTTCCATTTCATATACGGGATGTCATCCTTCCCATTGACTTTCACTCCATCATTTTTCAATATGGTTATTGCACGCACCACCAACCAGATATTTTTCAAGTGGTCAAAACAATCATAAACCACCCATGACTGGGAATGGTTTATAACACCTATAAACATGGTGAAGTCCTTTCAGAAATCTCTGGGAAACTCATCGGGTTCCAATGAGTTCCATGAAAAAAACCATCGTGGCAAGGGGGCGCCGCCCAGGGCGGCTTCCCCCAGAGGGGCCGTTGATTTTTGGCCTTTGAACATCAAAGCGGCTATGGATACCCTCTGGTAAACTAACATAACTATGGAAAATCACAATTTTCAATGGGTAAATCCACTATAAATGGCCATGTTCAATAGCTATGTTAAATTACCAGAGGATATGTTCAGTCCCCAAGAAAATAGACACCTTTCTGATTTGGCATCCCGTCACAATCTTAGTTTTGTCCAAAAAACAAACCCCCCAAATCCACGGGTGAATCATATTCCGCAGTGAAGCGAGTCAGTTTGGGGTATACCTCATTTTTGGACAAACCAATGCTGACTATCTACCATCTGGTAATTTAAACATAGCCATGGATGTGGTTGGCTAAACATACCCACATCGAGGGGTGGTCAGCAATCCATTAATAGGGATTTACATATCGATTAACAGCAATTCCTGATAATAAACCATATTAGCAATCATTAACCATTATGAACCATTATTAACCACTATTTTCACCACTATTCAGAGGGGTAGGGCTCGACCACCAAGCAGTGATAATTTTTTGGGATGACCATGAAGCATATTCAGGTCTTGTAACTTGACCATGAGACATCCTATGGACATCTAGTCTTCATGTCTTGCATGTCTTGCACCATTTGGTCGATGGACAACATCCCCGTTTTTTTATCCCATTCTTTACAGTGTTTCATAGGAATCCCATAGCAAAAACATGTAGGATTTCTTCCATCCACTGTATGACTGTAAATCTATAAATACTTAACACAAGGTCAATAGTTAATTCGCCCCAATAGTTGATGGCCATCCCACTATGATGGTACTATAAATCAAGTTCAGATGCCACAGAATCGACAGTTTTAAAGCACTATTCTGGCGTTCCATATCTTAAAATAGTGCTGTGCGAACCACATATATATATATATATATATACACATATATTTCAACATTACTGGAATACACCATCTCAATACAATTATTATCACCCACATTTACAATATTACCACATTTACCAGACATTTACCAGAATTTTACCACATTTTACAAGATCATTAACATATTTACCCTCTGGTTATGACTAACAGTTCGCCATGGAAAATCCACCCATTTTTTTTTAGTTCGGTAAACCATCTTTAAATCTATAGGCCATGGCGTAGCCATGGCTATGTAACAGTCATAACCAGATGATAACATTTTTTTTGGTAAAATCCCATCAGCATTTAGCCTTTTTTTTTTGATCTTGGGGAATCCACTGCTTCCCCCATGAAATAGCCTCTGGTAAAGGTGGAAAATCGCCATCTAAATTTACCCATTAAAAATGCATGGTGATTTTTTCCAGTTCGTTATGTAAACGTTGCCATATGGTATTATCATGGTATATCCATAATAGGTAAATCAACGAACTTTCGAAAAATGGGGGATGGCTTCAATAGCTATGTTTGACATACCCTCTGGTAAACTAACATAGCAATGGAAAATCACCATTTTTAATGGGAACATGCACTATAAATGGCCATTTTCAATAGCTATGTTAAATTACCAGAGGGTAACCAAAGGCTGAGCAGCGTAGAAAATTCTGAGGCCGACCTGACACAGGAGGCCAAGAGACTCGCAAAGACCAACGCCGACGCCTGGCTTCTGCGTTTCCGACGGTTCAGAGGGGGACAGATTTCACCATAAAATGGGATGATCAGGATGTGAAACACATGGTTTAACGATGAAAAATGGAGATTTCATCATATTTCATCATATTTCATCATATTTCATCATATTTCATCATATTTCATCATATTTCATCATATTTCATCATGATTTATGAGGTGTTTAATCGGTTCACTGATGAAAAATGATGAATTCAATGGAGATTTCAATGGATATTCAATGATTTCACAGATGAACAATTTGGGATGTTTTGATCAATTTTTTTTAATAATGATTTATAGGGGTTCGAACCTCTAACCCTCGAAGAATGTGGGCCTAAATTGATCAATGACCGTTGATCATGTCCCCCAATCGGCTGAGCGGTTTCAGTTTAATCTTGGTTTCAGATGGGGAGGTCACAGTTTGGGGCCGATTTCCTTGGCACGGCACAGTTTGGGTCCAATCCCAATGTTCGAATTCCAAGGGGGAATCATCCTTGAACATCTGGAATTATCCTTAGTCTGGTGGTTTGGAACATTTTTATTTTTCCATTCAGTTGGGAATGTCATCATCCCAACTGATTCATATTTTTCAGAGGGGTAGGGCTCAACCACCAACCAGCAGTTTCATGATTAGGGAGTGGTTTGGGAATGATGTGATGGGTCTTCCCCATCGACAACTCCACGTGTCGGGGATCGGCAAGCCAACTTCAACCCCGGTGTGTGAAGGGTTACAGGCTGGTGACCCCCAGTGATGTTTGTTGCTAAACCAACGAGCTCGTAGCTAGTTCGAGATATATCTACCATGAAGCCAACAGCTATTGGAGTTAGCACCTAGCGATTTGATTCGCGCTCACACTGGGGCACCACCACACTTTTTCGCGCTGGCACGTTGAAGCCGGGATCGACACCGAGGATGTGATTGTGACCTGTCAAACCGAAGCCACAAAAGGAATCCATCATTTCATGGCGGAGGAGTTGGGAATCTCAGCACCACCGACTGGGGTGTTTTTTTTTTGGGAAGCCAGGCTTGAGATCTCTCAAAGCTGGGGGGGATGAACATCCACAGCTAATTCTTGATGTGAAAGCCAGGCTACCTCCGGTGAGTTTCATACTCACGATGTGAAAAAACTCCATCTTCTTGGTCTTTTTGTCCCAGATTTTTGACCCTAAGCCAAGGAAAAAGGTGCATTTTTTGGTTGGATTCAGGGTTTCGCTTGCTGGATTTTCTGGATTTCTGCAACTCTACATGGTTTTCTTTACCCGCACTTTGTTTTTCAAAGGCTTTGTTTGGCTTAGATGACTTCACCAATCAAGTAGCGAAAGTGAACGCCGTCGAAATGTTTTTTTGGGGGGTTGGACATCTCCTTGTCGTTACCATTTCTGGGCAAACCCAAGTATCATGTTGTTGGGGATATGGTGTGTATATATATATATACATATACGTATAAACATCCCGTCAGATCCCAACATATCCCATTCTAGTTGATGTATGGATATATATATATATACTTCCATGAGATATATATATATACATACATATACATACAAATATACATATCCCCATAATAGTTTGTTATACTATATACCCCTTCTATGGCTTGTTTCACCCACCCACCATTGTTTTCAACGACAGGTGGCAGCTGGTGGCTCACGGCGAACATTGGGGCGCTGCTGGCGGCAGCATCAACGCACAGATGTCCAGCGCTTTTGTGCGTAAGTCCCTTGGCCTGGAAACAGCATCAAAGCGGTGGAAATTCTGTTTTTTCTTTGTGTGTGGGGGAGGTACTAAATAATATATGTATATATATATATATAAACATCAATGTCTGTGTATGTACTATGATTATTCATGATGATGTGTGATGTATGTGATGTATGTGATGTATGTGATGTATATGTATAATGTACCACGTAACATCTATAAGTAGTGCATGGTGCAGAGTACAGAGTGTATAGATGTGTACAGTGTATATATATATATATTCACGTGATATATATATATATACATACATATTTGTATATCCACATGTATATATATATATATGTATATATATATGTATATATATATACACGCACTGATGATGTGAAAGATCAATTGGAATATATTGGTTGCACATGGCTTGGGGTGAATAGAAGAGGGTCACCCTTGAAATAGGTCCAGGGATGGAGTTCAAATGTGGCAGGCCTCAGGAAAAACAAATTCGAAGAAGTTGATGGATTTAGTTTGGGCATCGGCATTTCAACTCGCATCCTTGCGGAGAAAAAGCCTATTGATTTCCTGGTGGATAGTTAGTTGCCCGTTTTTCAATCATTTTTCAGCTCCCAACAAAGATGCAGACAATTAAAAGCCGATTCCGAAATCGGGACAAATAGGAATACATCATCTTTTGAAATCCCTATCCCATTGATTGGATCATATCTATCCCTGGTTATCTCCGAATTCCCCATTCTTTTTGGGGTTTTCTATGCACCTTCGAAGCAACCCCTGCCGAGAACCCAGGCCCTTGGACGGCTCCAAATTAGTTGGCAACGTCTCAGAAATCATTCGCCTAAAACCCTGGCGCAGTGACCCTTGGCCGCCATGACATTGGTGAATTCCCGGGTATCCCCATCACATTCATCACAGTCATCACATTCCATATCACCATTTATCTATGATTTAGGATTTCATGTGGTACTCAAGTCAAACATGGCAATGGACAATTCCTCATTTATAGATCATTTTCCTAGTACGACCTTCATTTGAAGGGGGTTTCCCATTGTCACCCTTGACTACCAGAGGGCAACCATCTGTTTTTGCCGGTAGGTGTTATTAAAGGCCGGTGTTAGATCAGGGTGCTCCATTTGGGCCCTGGCATTTTTCCTAAAAGTGTCCTTGTGAGATGTCTATGTGCATTTCGAATGCGCAGGCTAGCGCAAAGTCTGCGCCGCGGGGTTCTCAAGCTCTTGGTCTGCCACATTTTCATTGTGAATTCTCACATAAAATTTCCCTTTTGAGATGTCCAAGTGCATTTAAACTGCGCAGGCTCGCGCAAAGTGTGGGCCCCGATCTTGGTCTGAAGCATCTTCATTGTATCGCATAAACGGGCTCTTCTGAGATGTCCATGTGCATTTCGACTGCGCAGGCTCGCACAAAATGTGGGCCCCGGTTTGCATCGGATTCATGTTTTGTGGCAGGCGCAGTACTTTGTAGACCTCAATATCTTGAGAAGATCCTGCTGTTCTGGCATCCACTTGCGTAATCTTGCGTAGGTTCTTAATAGAAGATCTTGTGGAGATCCTGGTGACGTTGTGTAAGAGCTCCTGGATGATCTTGCACAGGGCCCTTGCATGAAGATCTTGTAGATGCCAATCTTTGAATTCTGCGATGGTCTTTTGAAGATTTGAGTGCGATCAGGATGTTGCACGCGCATCGGTTTAACGATGTGTCGCCTGTCTCCACATGGTGTGCGACATAGTATACTGAATGTCTTCCTTTGCAGTGTTGCACCGCCAATACGCCGTAGTATAGGTCCATTTCAACGGGAGTTGGAGTTGTTTTTGCAGTCGGATCTTTTACCGGCCCACAAATTCGACATTTTTGTTACATGTCATCTTAAACCTCTTGGGGTGGGGGTTAGGCGGGGTGGGGTGCGGCATGTCAACTTTCGCTTGCACTTGAAGTTGATGCTACGTAACGCATGGGGTTGGGTGGTGTGGGGTGGGGCATGTCAACGTTCGTTTGCACTTGCGTCATGAAGTTGATGCTACGTCACGCATGGGGTTGGGGTTGGGTGGTGTGGGGGGCATGTCAACGTTCGTTTGCACTTGCGTCATGAAGTTGATGCTACGTCACGCATGGGGTTGGGGTTGGGTGGTGTGGGGCATGTTAACGTTCGCTTGCACTTGCGTCATGAAGTTGATGCTACGTCACGCATGGGGTTGGGGTTGGGTGGGGTGGGGTGGGCCATGTTAACGTTCGCTTGCACTACAGATACGTAGAGGCATATATAGATTCTTACCTGTAGAGTATTCGCATCTTCATATGTATACATACACCGATATTGCGATCATACATATGGACACATATATAGATATGATACATTTGTAAATATATAGATATGATACCTGCTGGCCAAAACGGGCCTCTACCTGGCAAAGCTGTGAGCTGAAAAAAGGAAAACCGAACTCGGCACGTTTTTGACCACAAAATGCTGGAAGGGTTGACGAAAGCATCTTGCGATGAACTTTTTTTAAGAAACTTTTTTGGACCCAGAATGCGCGTTTGGCTAGCACGAGAACGACGTTTTTGAGAAATCATGGGACGGTGAAAGATCCGTCGGGTTGTTTTTGCCTCATCTGCCTTGGCTTTGAACGTCTTTTGCTGACTGCAGCTTTGCTGAAGTAGTCGGTTCAGGACGTGAACATGGTGCGCGACATAAGCATTATGCGGAATTTCCTGCTTTACAATGTTGCACCGCAAATATGCCATACCAGGTCCATTTGAACAGGCGCTGCTTTTCTATGCTTTTCTTCCGCGCAAGTCCGGAGCCATGGCGGCGGCAACCTTGGCGGCGCTGGAGACCACACGCGCGACAGTTCGAAACTCGGTAACCTCTCTTGCCTCAAACCATCCAAACTGGGCAGCCTCTCCTCCTCTCCTGGTAATCTGGCTCCTCGTCTCTGGACTTTGTTACTTTGGCGTTAGCCTGTTGCGGTGCTGGACTTGATCTAGGAGGCACTCGTTAAACGAGGGCCAGCAACTTTGTAGCAGACACGGTTGCTGCTCTTTCCGCACATCCGTATGCTAGATGTCTTTCTTGATGCCGTCTTGCTAGCTGGCCAGCACACGACGAGAGCTGCGGTTGCTCGCTCTCTCCGCAAGTGTGTGGCCGTGCTCTGCTATGGATCTCGCGGCAGCATTGCAGCCGCAATAGCTTCCGCGTGACGTTGCTGCTTGTTTAAAAGAAACACTGTTTTGCAGCGGGGCCGCATTAGACTGTCACCTTCGTATGTTTCCGTGCCTCATCTGCCCTACATACATTGTACTTACTTTCCCTTCCCCACACTGTTTGGGGTCTCTTGCCAGTGTAATTTTGAGTCATGGCCACGTGGACAAATCTCCAGAGACTTGATGGACAAATGCGGGGTCAATTGACTTTTGAAATTGCATGCTGATCAGGTTTTTCCTACTTAGCAACTGTGCCAACCAAAAATTTGGACTGGATTTTTGTGGATACTTGAGCATTTGTCCACTTATATAGGAAGTGGTAGACCCAGAGTCACTAACCAGCCCACATGACTTACCAGAAATGGGCGGAATTGAGACCATTCCTCAGCTACTAGAAACCTGCTCAGTACAAAGTAGTACCAGGATTCATGCAACTGAACTTGCTTGATTTGTTTATTGGGGATTACCAATTTCGAGAGTATGAACAATCGCTTTCGGGGAGCATTCTGCATCGGATTCATTGAGCCAGTGTTTATTCATCATTTAGGTTTGACACTCGATTAGCCAATAGATGCCAATAGAACTGGATACATACTCATCCCAGCCCCCCGCAAAAGACACCACCAAAATGGGGGGACACCAAGCTGAACGGGGTTTCAAGGGATGTTTTGACATGTTTTGCCAGCAGCTGGTAGCCATGTTTTTTCTTTTTAACGTCAGTTATAGATATAAAACTAGGTTCCACGTCCAGTTTCAGAAACCGGTGGGAGGGTCGAACCAATAGCTCAGATCATGTTGTGGTCATCCCAAAATTTCAGTGATTTGGTTACCCTCTGGTTATTTAACATAGCCATGGTATAGATGGCCCCTAGAAATAGATGGTTTACCTATTAATAGCATGGTGATTTTCCATGGCAAACTGTTAGTCATAACCAAATAGTAACACTTGGGACCAAAAATCCGCAGATTTTGATCAATTTCGATCAATTTCCATCCAAGTCCTTGGCACCCAAGGACTTGGCTGCCCAATATTCACCAAGATATTCCATACTTTGTGGTTGTACACACCCAATGAAAGTAGATCGGTCTGTCTGAACATTTTCGGCTACCCCGAAATCCGATGCTTGGCATCATCACCCGATAAACATGGTTATTTGGAAATCTTCCCCATTTTTGAGACACAACCATATCTAGGTCAGCCTTGGATGGGTAGTTTAAATCCTTGATTTTTTTGCTACCTATGAATAGAAGTATCTACTAACCAGCTAACGATTTGATTTTGTGCAGGGTATCTCGGTAGGCAATGATATCTTTAATCTGGTTGGTGGTTTGGAACATTTTTTATTTCTCCATACATTGGGAATAATAATACCAACTGACTAATATTTTTCGGAGGGGTTGAAACCACCAACCAGCTTTAATTTTGATCCATTCCTAGTTGAAATAATGTGAAGAGTCAGAGTGGAGATCCCCGTGCCTGATCGTTCCTTGGTGCTTTGTTATGGGTTGAAAAACCCATTGACCCACCCAAAAACGACAGACCAAGTCTGCCTGAAAATTAGACTTTTCAGACTTTTGAGTGGCGGACTTTTGAGTGGCAAGAAACGGATGGTTTTTGAGTTTTACGGTGTTTTTGGAGTGTGATTCAGATTTCCAAAGAAGGGTTTTTGTCGAATGGTTTCAGATGGTGAACGATTCTGCGGATGCATTGGTTACCCCAAAACGTTATCCCATTGGGTATGCAGTTTCTCTTAACAATTATCTGGTTGGTGGTATGGAACATTTTTTATTTTTCCATTCAGTTGGGAACGTCATCATCCCAACTGACTTTCATAGGTATACCACCAATTAGTTATAGGGGCTATATCCGAAGTCATGGGCGGTTTTTTTTGATGGTTATAACCAGTTATAGCCGCAAAAATCACCGCAACTGCAGCTCAACGGGAATTTCAGGATGCTAAAATGGAGCTACGTAAACGTACCATATTTGGGGCCATATTTTGTGGGGGCATTTCCTAAAACATAGGCAGGTACCTCCAATCATTTCCTGCATGGCCATTGACCACTAGCCATCTGATCTTAAGATCCCAAGGACGTCGGGAATTCTGGAAACTTCGGTGGCTCGCAACCAGGGCTGGGCTCGAACGTTGATGAAAGATGGGACTCCAATTTGTGTCTAATGTTGGTGGTTTGGAACATGGCTTTGATGTTCCATTTCATATATGGGATGTCATCCTTCCCAACTGACATATATTTTTCAGAGGGGTAAGTATACCACCAACCAGCTATGGTTTGCCCGCAAGGCTAGAATTGAGTTCAAATATTATCCTTTGACATGCTCAAAAACCTGCGCAGGGCTAGTGTTTTGGTATTTACCGGACGACAACCCTAAACCATCCTAAACCCTACAACCCTAAAACCCTAAAACCCTGAAAACTCCGAATCCGAAAGCAGAAAATACTGCGTATACACTGCGTATACGCAGTATTTTTTGCAATTTCTCTTCTCATGTTCAACGACAGGGAATCCTCAATGTTGCAGTCCGGGCAAACCACGGGGTCTGTGCGTAATGTTGGTATATTAAAAAAAACAAACGATCCACCATCTCCAATTTTACAATTTTTATGGGTGGTGTAAGCCATCAAACTGTGGGCTTGTGACATTGCTTTACCAACATTATTTATTTATTCACTGGTCTATCTTGTTTGTCCTTTGGAAAGTGATTAAACATTGGGCTTGGCAAAGTTCAAGTTGATCACAAAAAAGATAGGGGCTCTAGACACTGAATTACACCAACCGACTTCCCGACAAAAAGGACACAGATTTAGTTTTTGGTGGATATACCATATATTTGATTATATTTGCATCAAAAAAATGGATATATAGGATTTATGTCGCATGGATGTGTATGGTGTCATCCGCAAAAAAGAAAGACAGTTTGCTATGGAACATGGCCCATCGAGTTCCCCCATTAAACATGAAGATTTTTCATGTCGCACCACGGTTCAATTACGTGAGGGAATGGTGTTATTGTCCTCATGATATCCCTATAAAAATTCCCACTATATCACCATTACATTTATTTGTATTTGGGATTTATGTTACGCTCCGGAAATCAAACATGGCAATGGAATTTTCCCCATGTGTAGATGATTTTCCCAGCTATAAACCTTCATTTATGGTTGGGATTCCCAATTGCCAGGTTTGATGACGAGGGTATCTGGAACATATAATTGGACATAGGGGATTTTGCATTCCAATTAATGGGGTTATACAATGTTATACATTTCAATATCATAGCATTATAATCCCATTGCGATTGGGTATCATAATATGTAGTGGTATTATAATAGCATCATCCATGTAACAATAGGATTCATCTTGAATACTTATATGTCAATTGAATCGATTTCAATATCATACACCATTATGATTTGATATCATATGGAACAAAATTCATGGCACTATGATGTATACATAGTTTATACTATTTTTACCATTTAAGTGGGATAATTTTAATCCTATTTTACAATTTTTATACATGCATAAGAAACTATTTCCGTTTTTATTTACCCTCTGGTAATTTAACATAGCGATTGAAAATGGCCCAGTCGAAATCGTTGATTTTCCCATTCAACATGGTGGATCTTTCCTTAGTTGTTGGTAGGTTTACCAGGCCGGGTATACGATTGATCCCCTGGTAAATTAACTTGTTGACCCTGAAAATCACCAATTTTTAGTGGAAACGAGTTTCTTCCAACTCCTATCTGCCAGGGTCGAACTGTTAATTTACCAGAGGGTACTAGTTGTGGGGGTACCATCCAAATAGTCAGAATACACTGGAATTAATGATACATAAATGGTATCCCCCGCAATTAAACAGCCGTTTGGGGTTTATTAATCCATGGTATTTTGTGGTGTTTTTTTGTCGTGGGATCTCGTGGCTTTTCTTCGCCAAGGTTTGGCGGCGTCAGTCCTCGGTGGTGCAGTCAGTTCCCCGCTGTTCTCTGCGCTGGCACGAGTGAATCCTGGAAAATTCATGGCCAAGGGTGAAAACTGGTTGGTTAATAGTGGTTAATAGTGGTTAATAGTGGTTAATAATGGTTAATAATGGTTGATCATATAATGAATGATTATATACTGGTTGATGGGGATAGCCCCCTGGTCCAATATATTAATAGTGGTTAATAGTGGTGAATAATGGTTGATAATGGTAATCAATGATTAATATATTGGTTGGTGGTTTCAAACATGAATGGATGATGTTCCATTTCATATATGGGATGTCATCCGAAACCCATTGACGAAGTCCATCATTGTTCAGAGGGGTAGGTTGAAACCACCAACCAGAAAAAAAGGATGGGAATATCATTATATCATTGGGATATTCACTAGGATGTAATGGAGATAATGGGAATATAGCAACTGTATGAGGAGATAAAACCCAGATGATATAAATTCAACCATTTTATGGGGATCTGATGGGGACATATTGCTGAGATACCCTTGAGATTTTCATACACGCCACGGAAATCCCATGGTGTTCATCCGCATTGATCTACATGTTTGGTGGATTCAAAAAAGGAACAGATCCAGTCCCAAACCTAGTTTTCTGGGGCTTATGACGAGGATGATCAAGGATGATCTTGGGTACCAGTCTGACTGGACATCCAAAGATCTCGGGGAAGGGTCGGAAGTGGTTGGCTGCCAGTTCACCAAGTTGATCCCACATATCATGGCCAGTACACCTAGTTATGCCATTTCTAGCCATTTCTATCTATCAGGAAACGGGATGGTTTGAATATGTTTGAATTGCAGCCAGAAAAATGGTGAGTCATTGGAGATAGTAACAACATGTAACAACATGTAACAACATGTAACGACATTGGATTTATCACATTATCACATTGTCCTGGATTCGACGGGCTTGGAGTGGTTTCACGGACCGATTGTCATTCAATGCTCACCAGAGGTGGCCAATACAATTGCAATGATATATAATTATATACATATAGACATTTTTTTTACTATTGGGTGATAGTCTTCACAATACATATAACAAATAATTAGTATTCAATATTTATACTGGCTGTTATACATCCTTATGATACTATCCTTTTTTACGCACGTATCGATTCTGTTCGGGACTGAGGACAGCATTGGACTACAAGGGCAAAGGTGGGGTGTCGATCACCTTGGACTTCCACGAGAATCAGGCCCCAACCCGAATGGAATACCTTCCCGAAAAAGCCGCTATTTTTGATGGGGAGCAAACGAGCTACTTATGGAGTTTACCCAATGATGTAAAGTTAGGCTATTATCATGTTGTATCCACAGATTGGACATCATTGCGTCAGATGGTCCCTCTTACTGTGCGTTTTCTGCTGACCTTCTGTGGAGGCATTTCGGATGAATTATACCGATCCGCACCAACTTTTTAATGGGGGGTCATTTTTAGATATAGTCATAGTTCATAAATGGGTCTACCCAAGTTCATAAACCTCTGGTTGGTGGTTTGGAACATTTGTTATTTTTCCATATATTGGGAATAATCATCCCAACTGACTTTCATGTTTTTCAGAGGGGTAGGTATACCACCAACCAGACCTAAATTGGGATGGGTTTTTCTTGGGTTTACCACCTTAGCACCTTGGCTATTGAAAATAATCCGCAATTTCCTGGAGTTTGTCTTGGGGATAACTTCTGTGACCTCATGGTCCAGTAGAAGGGTGATGGGCGGTTGAAAAAACAGTTTGCGAACTTGAAAATGACCATTGAAATACTCTCCCGAAAACCAACGTTGGGCAAAAAAAAAAGGTTCCATGCTAGCGCACCCATGTTAAAATTCATGAGCGGGATAAGTGCCAGGTAGGTGCCATGTTGGTGCTAGTGAATTTGGACATTTTTGCACAAGTTTTGGCTGCATGGCATACTAACATAGAACCCCACAAGCTGCCAGAGAGTGCTCATCCAAAAGTTCCATGTTAGCCATGGCGGCTGACACGGGGAATTCGGAACCATTATGCTGTTTATGGTGGTTGAGTCATTTTGTCCAAGATAAATTCCAAAGTACAAATTCTGAAGACAAGTTTAAACACAAACAGTACATGTCAAAAAACACACCCACAAGACATATCCTCAACACATCTTAGAAACACATCGAAAACATATTCAAAACATAAAGAATAGACAAAAACATATATTCAAGGTATATATTCATTGTCAATTTTTGATATGTTATACAGATACTTTTTCCCATTTACCCACCATAAACGTAATATACAGGTATTTTTCCCATTTACACGTGACATTTCTCATTTTCTCATTGTAGCCTTCCAGTTGGGAAGACCTCCGGGCGGGGCCTCCGGGCGCCAAAGCTACGGGAACACTTCCCAACAGGACCCAACTGCTCGAGGACTTCGACCCAACAGGGAAAGCCACAACGAGAAAATGAGAAATGTCACGTTTACAGTGGGTGAATAGGAAAAAGGTATTTGTGTAACATTTTAAATATTAAAAAGTGATATTTTGCGACTTCTTTACTTTTTGATATGTGTATGTTTAACTTTGAAAATGTGCTTCAATGTAAATTGACATGATATCTAGAAAAGCTATAAATATACAAAAAAAAGTCCAAAACTACACGTTTAGCTGACTTTTTCAAGAAAGATTAACTGCCAACTATATAACACGGACCTTCCATGGAAACCAACATGGGCCCCCATGGTACCTTTCCCATGGTGACCTCCCCCATACCCTGAAAGCTGGAAACCAACATGGAAGCCAACATGGAACCCAACATGGACCCCCACGGTACCTTTCCCATGGTGACCTCCCCCATTTTGTCTTTCTTTTGCTCCTTGTTGCTCTTGCCATCTCTTTCTTAGTTTGCTGATGTTTGCTGATATTTGTTATCCTTTCATGTTGCTTGTTTTTTCTCTCTTCGCTGTCAGGTTTTCTGCCTGTTGCGGCTTACTTTGGAAGGTTGTGCGACGAACACGGAACCCAACACATCCAAAAATAAGTCACGACCTTTTCTTGGAGGTGGTTTGGTTTCAGTTCTTTCCCCACCACAGACCTGGAACCTGAATAGTTATTAAAAGGTGAGCGCAATACGAAGTGAAAAGTAAGGTCGCCCGAAAGTCACTAACATGGAATGTTCAAGGAGAACGCCTTAAAAACCACTTGGCTTCCAGGTTAACCTTCAAATCACCCTTCAAGGTTGCAGATCGCTGTGTGATAACTTGTTCAAATTCCATGCTGGCTGTTTCAGGGCGCAGTTTGGGTTCAGTTTGGGCCTGCATTGCGTGGGTTCCATGTCAGTTTTTGAGTGATTTTATTGAAAAAGGTAGTTGCATGATTTCCTGGGGAACAAAATCCACTTGAGACCGTACCATAGGTTCATGTTAGGAGACCTCGGGAATAGCATGCAGTTCCACGTTGGATTTCGGGGGTGTAGTGGAATTACCCGTTGAACATTGAACATGGTGATTTTCCCATAGTTATGTAAACGTTTTCCCGAGGGTAAACCATTTATGGAGATATCGACCTAGCTGCGCTGTTCTCATCAGCCATGATTGGTCGCGAAACCCGGCGATGAACTCCACCCATTCTTGGCAATCTAACAACTGGCTGGTGGTTTGGAACCATGGAATTTTATGACTTTCCATATATTGGGAATGTCATCATCCCAACTGACTTTCATATTTTTCAGAGGGATTGAAAACACCAACCAGACAATGATTGTACGAAATTGTACGAAACATGGGTTCTATCCAACATGATAACACGGTGAACACGTACTCTCGCCACCACTGAACTTTCATAACAATGTCCATCAATCTACCAATATTGGTATGTACATACACATAATCAGAATATATGTTACATACCCCACGGTTACTATACCCAAAACTGCTTCCCGGCAGGAACACCCGCCATCTGTAGATCATTTTCTGAATGGGATTCCCCATGGGCTTTCCGTATCTGCAAAATCTACCCGGGGTATCTCTCAGTATATGCCATTACTGTAATTTTTTCGCCTAGTACTGTATACCCACTATTTTTATTGGTTGTTTGGATATATCCCGATGACATCCCTTGAGAAAACATCCAAGTAAACAATCCATGGTTGGTATGTTCCATTAATATGGGACACAATACATGTTCATTGGCAATAAACAATCAATATTGGCATTTCCGGTACACATCTTTATAGCAACCATTAGATATTCTGATATATATATACACATTCATCCATGATATTGGCAACCATTAGATATCCACCATTAGATATCAGATTATATATTGCCAATATGTAAACATTTAGATTCCCCCATATACAGATATCCCTTCCACATACATTCCATATTAAAAATTTCAGGAACTCTACATTGATTGCCGTAAACTTACAGGGTCAACACTGCCACAAGGCCTCACCATGAAGATATTTTCCTAGGAAAACCATGGCTGGTTGGTGGTTTAAAAGATGGCTTTTATTTTTCCATTTCATATATGGGATGTCATCCTTCCGATTGACTAATGTCACCATGAAAGACTGGTTGGTGGTTTGGAACTTTTGGATTCTTTTTCCATTCAGTTGGGAATGTCATGATCCCAACTGACTTTCACTCCCTCCATCATTTTTCAGAGGGGTAGGTGGCTCAACCACCAACCTATGGCCTTTCCAGATCTTTTTCGACACGCCAGGTCCGTGAAGGCTTCGTGCTTCAGTTTGTTTGTGCCCACCTCGATAGCGAGACGGAAGAGGACGCCGTGGCGGGATGCAACGGGATTCCGTGGTGGGGTGGTTTGTTGTTGGAGACCGGAAGATTAGCCTCTGGTTATGACAAATGGCTAGCCATGGCATGGATGGCCCATAGAAATAGATGATTTTCCCAGCTAGAAACCTCCATCTATGGTTGGGATTTTCCATGGCTATGTTAGTTTACCAGAGAAGGTAATTCATATGGTATGTTAAGTTGATATTTATTAATGGAATTCATGGGCTATGGAGCTAATTCATGGGATACCCTCCAGCAGCAAACGTTTGCAGAACTTGCGACGTGGAAAAAACCTGGCCCATTTAGTTGGATGATTTACCCATTAAACATGGTGATATCCGCAGCTAAGCAACAATTGCCAGAGAGAAAGTAGTAAAGCAACAACACGCATTGTCAAATACATGTATGTATGGACTGTATGGAATACAATATCATTGTGTATAGATAGATCCAACTGTAGATAGATCCACCAAAATCCATCGTCAAGCTAGTTGTAGATAATTTGGGACCCCATCTTGTGTTCTTCGTCCATTAATATGCAATTTGAATCCCATTAAATCCATTTTTTCCATGGTAAGTTTCCCATCAACATCCCATTTCAACACCGATTGAATCCAAATTGGGGTACAGAAGAGGAAGAAGAAGAACCCGTTGTAGCGCTGCAGGATAGCCAAACAGCACGTCAGGCAGCAGTCTCAGGACTGCTCGTGCTGAACTCTATCCTTTTGTCGCTGTCTTCTGCGACCAACAAGTCGGAGCTGTAAGCTGAATCCAGCCTGTAAAGCCTGTCATTCTGATAGGATTCTGCAGGCTGGAAAGCATGACGGGCCAAATGTCTTCCAAAATGGTCATTTCTTTCAGCACAGCTATTCCGCACCGGGGTCATCCCCAAGGGCCACCTGTGGTCGCTTGGTCGCTTGACCGTTGGAGATCCGGAGGTTGCTACGTTGTAGGGACACCTGCTATGTTCCACATCTCGCAGGGCGAAACAAGCTGGGTTGATCGAACCATAAAGTATGGCAAGTGCTGCACCGAAGGGGTACCATGAGCAAGAGTTCTGACGTAGCCAAATCCCAAATTGGGGTACATCCTATCGTTTGGGGACCCCCACATTGTATTAATTCTCTCTTTCCATTTCAATTCCAAGAAATCCAACTTTTTGATGGCCATTATATCCCCCCATACATTCGATCATAGTCCAGTTTATGCGGAATAAATATTGATATCGCATCTGACCTAATTTTTTTTATCCCATTCATCCCAACCGTTGATGGTGAAATCGGCAAAATTTGTCCCATCAAATCTCTAAAAATCAATTGGAATCCCATGAAATCCTCGTTTCTAACGGTAAGATTCCAGGTCACAAACCTGATGAAATCCATTAAGAACCCACGAAATCCCATTGAGAACCCATTAAATCCTCTAAAATCCCATGCATATCACATAAATCCGAGTTAAAGGCCATTTATCCTATGGTTATTTAACTTAGCTATGGGAAATCACCATTATTGATAGAGAAATCATCATAAATCATCAATCAATGGACCATTTGCCACAGCAAACTGTGTCAAAAGAGGGTAAAACCCATTTCAATCCCGCTTCAATCCCATTAAGAGACACATGGAAAATCCTACTAAATCAGATGCAAAATCCCACTTAAATCCAATTCAATCAGCAATAAATCTGGAAAATCCCATTGAAATCTCCCATTTCGCCTATCTTTCCAGCTGTTTTTCGCCCGGAAAAAAATCCTCCAGGCGCGGCACTATGGCATCGGACAGATGTTGTCCGAGGCAAGGGCTCCGGATCTGCGAACCGCCAACGCCTTGAGGATCCTCGGGGGATGATTTGGGTAGCCTCTGGTCAACGTTGACATCACGAACTGGAAAGATCCACCATGCTTTTAATGGGAAAACTCACTATTTCGACTGGGCCATTTTCAATAGCAAACTGTTGACATAACCAGAGGGTAGCCCGAAAATTCAGGAAACCTCCAAATAGCTGTTGAAATGTTTTTTTGATTTTCAATGGGAGTTTCCATGCGATATTGGACGGATTTTTGGGGATTTCTTTTTGTTGCAAATAAAATAACAGAAGTCCTGACAATGCAGGAATGTAAAAGATAGGCTTAGTAAAGGTTGGTGGGACATCTTCGATTTGAAAGGATTTAGGGCTGGTGTCCCGAAGTTCCTGAAGGCACGAAGATGCAATCAATCCAAAATAAGGGAGATGTCGGTCTACTTGTCACTGTGCGTGGTTTGCTTGGTGCTAAAGGTATTCTTTGCATGAACAGCTTCACAAGACACAATTGGTTGATGATTGTAGGGGGTTGTACTACCCTTCACATATCCTGGACATTCCTGGACAATGAGAATAATCCATTTATAAGCATCCGCGCCAACCATCATTTCGTGGAATGTCCACGAGTTTTTTGACACTACAAACACTGTCCTCATAGCACATCAACCATGACTGGGGAAAATCAAATGTAAGTGCTCCTTGCGTACGTAATATCGAAGCGTGGACAGCCAAATTGTGCAATGTCGACCTTGCATTCCTAACCCCCGGCTGCTAGGGTACCAATAGTATCCAATGGTATCCAATAGCCTCTGGTAAACGTTTACATAACTATGGAAACTCACCATGCTATTAATGGGTAAATCATGGTAAATCCACTATTTCTATGGCCATTTTCAATAGCTTTTTGTATGTTTACCAGAGGGTATTGGATACTTTCACTTTTTTGGTGTATCAATCCGGGATGGATAGTGAACCATCCATATTTTGATGGCTTAGACCACCGATTCAGTCAAAAATTGGGGATGCTTCACTATTGCTATACTAACATTGCTTAGATACAAAAAAAAACAAGTGACAGTTTACTATTGGATACTATTGGTAGCCTATGTAAAGGGATACTTCCCAAGCATTTAGATTGTACACCCGCCCAAAATTTCCCAGCACTTCCGGGACACAACACGCCTTCGGGTCGTGACCCATGTGCAGTGAAAAGTCCCTGGTGATTTGATGAAGAAAATCCAGCCGTTCTTCGGAAGTTTCCAGCCCTTTTTCGCATCACGCAAAGAAGTTCGAGGAACTTCGCCATTTTTTGGCTGGTTGGTGGTTTCAAACATGGCTGGATTATTTTCCGTTTTATATATGGGATGTCATCCTTCCCATTGACTTTCATATTTTTCAAGATGGTTATTGCACCACCAACCAGTTGGCAATGACTTCCATTTCATGATGGTGAAAGCTCATTTGGGAGTGATGTCCACACTTTTTGGAATGTAATTTAAACGTGTTTTTTCGGACAAGCTCGATATGTGTCTGAAAATAGGCCATCCCCAAAACTATTTTGGTGAACCAAAATGGTCTAATGTTGGATGATTTTAGGGGTACAACCATTTTAGGAAACCTCCACATGAGCCACATGGGTGTGTCTGGAAATACGCTGTCCCCAAATCTAGTGTTTGTCTGAAAATAGGGGATACCCACAAATAGCAATTTTAATGGGGAACATGGTGATAATCCATTGGAATATGAGATACACTATTTTCAGACAAACCCATCTAGTGTTTTATCGTGTTTTATTGCCCAGTTTTTGGACAAAGCCACTCTCACCATCAGCTGGGCGAGGAAGGAAGTGGTTGGCAAATCAGGCGGACATTTTCATCAAGTCAGTGATTTGGGCGGGGAGTGAGAAGAATTTAAGAGTAATTTGCCAAGATTGTTTTGTACTGTTTTGTGAATTATGATTATTGCCGTCTTATTATTGATATTGATGAAGATTACTATATTCCCTGAAAGTGTAAGGCTAGAAACCTGTGGCCATGGTGCTCGAGATCATATTTTACACAGCTTCCGCACGGGAATCGCCAAGAAATTCGTGCGCCTGGAATCTGGAGAAACCCGGGTTGCAATGTTTGTGGTGTATTTGGGGATGTGTCAAAACCCTGGTACCTAGTGAACCCCAAAATAGCTGGGATTTATGGATGTTCATCCCACTAAAAATGTATCTATAGGTATTGACCCATACCCATTTAATGTAGACAAAAGACATGCACTGCAGAAGTTGCAATTCTCATGGAATCCGTTCTTATTTCATCGAAGTATGCACTGTGGTCATTCGACCCAACGGGTCACAGTGTTCAACGATGTTCAACGGCCGAAATGCAATCCCTCAACATACTCAACCAGGTTATTCATCCAATTATAATGTGGATGGAAGAAATCCTGCACCAGTTGATAGGTGGTTTATTCCATTGTTTATGCGGTTTCAACCATCCAAGGTGATGCAGGATTTCGCAACCATCCACAGTATCACCATATTCTTGATGATAAAATGCCTTGATTATTGGTGAAATCTGAAATCAACCAGTAGTAGCGGCACAGGTTGGCCCAAGTTGTTTTTTCGCATTAATCCACACTGGCAAATCTACTGGAATAATTTGGATTATTTCGGGGGCTCTTAAGCAAATCCAAGTCAGTGGCCAGTACTGGCTGATCTCATATTTATAGCTTGAAAATCCCTAGGCTTTGTTGATGTTTGTCATATTTTTTGTTGACCTATTGTTGGTTGAATTCCTAAATTTATTGGTGAGGTTGCGCCATATTTGAGCTGACCGTCTTTGTTGGCTCAGGTTGGACTTGCATGGCATGGAAATTGGTTGACTTGAATTGTGTATTTATATATAAATGTAATAATTCAAGTACACAATATATAAATACATATAAGTCAAAGATTATATATATATATCTAATTTATAATTGATTATACCAGTATATAATCTTTCTGGTCTTGTACAGCAAACCCAACGGTGTGCTACATTCATATTTGTTGATTTTTCTGAGATTTATTAGCATCATTTGAGAATTTGTGAGACATGCTAACCAAACCCACAAGAAATATTATATCTTATAGCGCCATAGTATATCCATTATATTCATTATATCCAAGAAATATTATATCTTATATGTGATATTATGTGTATATTCATTATATCCCTTGTCCCCATTACACCTAAATCTTGACCATGCTTCAGGTGAGATGCGAGAGCCCTGTGCGCTTTATGACAGCCACAGAAAGTGGCTTTGTTGAAGGTCGCGGCAGATGTTTGTTTGGCTTAAGAGGACCCTCTGGTAAACGTTAACAAAGAACTACAATGTGGGGCCCCCTAGTTATGTTTGTTGGTTTAGATTCGCCCCAATAACTATAGTTATTTGCGTACCATAAACCATAGTTATTGGAGTTATGTTCACCAACTTAGCTATCTAGGGGGCCCCACTTTGTATGGAAAGATCCACCATTTTATAGCTGGGTAAATCAACGAACGATTTCTATGGCCATTTTCAATAGCTATGTAACAAATTTCCAGAGGGTAGCGATTGTGTTTTTTGCATGGTTTCAGACAGTGTCACGTAAACGTCACGTAGATCCTGTGAGGTTTTTTCCAGTGAACTCTTCCCACTGGGAGTTGCGGTTTTCGTTACTGGCGGATCGATTTGTTGGTGGGATTCTTGGGCCCTGACGTTTTTTGAGGTAAAAATGACAAGTTCATCCCAAGTGGCAATTTTTTGCGTATTTTCCCCATGAATTGATGAATTGGGAGAATTGCTGTTGAAATCTGGCAAACAATCTCCTTGAATTGGTGCTTCAATAGTGGTGAGCACTCCGAACAGGTGATGTAAACATGGTGGAAACCTGTGGATGACCATTTGAATAGATTCGAAAATTGCTGGTTGATACACTGTACATTGTGTACATGTTGCTGGTAGTTACCCAACTAGCTGTCTTTGACATTGATCCCAATCCCAATGACAGCCAGGCTACCAACAGAGGGAATCAGACAGATCCAATTTACCAATGAGATAATCTCAAGCTACCGACAGGTCAAGGGTATGCGGCTACATGCGGCTACCGAAATGATGGCGAAAATGCGAAAATGATGACATCCACCTGTGGATTTTTTTCAAACATCCCCAGAATTTCCATGCAAAGCCATAGGTTGGCCTGAAGAAATCCCCTTGTTGAAGCTTCATCATATTCCATCACATCCCATAAAATATCCCGTGCTCATGGTTATAAAGCCCCTTATATACCATCTGGTTATTTAACATAGCCATGGAACATCCCTTATAAATGGAGGTTTTCATGGGAACATCATCTATAAATGGGCAATTTTCCATGGCTATGTTAAATAACCAGAGGGTATATTCCAAGATATCCACATTAACATCCTGCCAATTCCGAATGTTTGAGGGTTAGATCACAATGTTTGATAGCTATATTCCCATGATATGAAATAACTACATCCCAATTATTTAATTATGTTCCCATCAAATTGCATTTTTTTAAAATCTCATCATATTCCATTGAGTGTCCTCAATATCTCCTCATTATCTCATCATATTTCCCAATCATACCCTCTGGTAATTTAACATAGCTATCGAAAATGGCCATTTATAGTGGATTTACCCATTAAAAATGGTGATTTTCAATAGCTATGTTAAATTGCCAGAGGGTATCCCATATCCCATCACAGTTCCCGCGTCAAAAAATCCCATCACAGAATCCCTGAAATCCCATGGTTATACCCAACTATTGGTTCCATTAAATCCTCTTACCCGGCCTGGTTATGACTAACATGGCCATGGTTTGTTGATGGCCCATTCATAGATGGTTTACCGAACTTAAAAATGGTGATTTTCCATGGCGAACTGTTAAATAACCAGAGGGTAAATTCTATTAAATCCCATTAAATCCCATTAAACCACCATTAAATCCCATTAAATCCCATGGCTATGTTAAATAACCAGAGGGTAAATCCTATTTTTTATCCGACTAACCCCCCAGAATTGGTCATTTCTCTCTTACTCCACTAAGGTTCTGTGCGGCCGAAAAGTTCGAGTTAGGACCTGAGCCTAATGCGGTGCTCCTCTTTGGTGTCTTGACGTTGGACTTCAAAGGAAGATGCGGTTTGTTCGCACCAAAAAAAAGGATTTAATGGGATACTACTGGGATTTCATGGGATTTAATGGGACTCAAATGGAATTTAGTGGGATATTCATGGTATTTTCCATGGGATTTAATTGGCTTTAATTAATGGGATTCAAATGGGATTGAATTGAAGTTAATGTGATCAATACCTTCATTGAATCCCATTGGTACCCCAAGAAGGTTTGTGTTCCAGACGTTTTTTGTTGACGGACAAGGTGGTACAAGATGAGGCCCCGGTTTACGATAGCTAAGTTGGTGAAAATAACTTGGTTAACTAAGGTTTATGGGGGATACAACTATGGTTGATGGGGTTTATAAACCAGCTCAGAACTGGGGCTCCCAACCTGATAGGTTTGTGTTGTCCCTGTAAATGAAGGAAATCATAGTTTCCCAATAGCGATAGCTTGGGGTTGTCAACTCTAAACGCGGACGGGCGCCGTTGGCCGGGGTGCGTCCCCGTGGTGTCTCTGTGGTGCCTCGGTGGTGGCTTAGTGGCTGCTGATTGCGTTAGCTGTGTCCCGGTGACATTTCAATGCGTGTCACTCAAGCCCCGACTGTTTTCTTGGTTGTTCACACCATGCATGTGGTACAGTAATTTTTGACGGTTCCACCCTATTGTCGTGCTGACGATCATTACTGCTGGTGATGGCGACGACGACGACGACCACGGCGGCGGCAGCGGCGCTGCTGCTGCTGCTGATGATGATGATGATGATGCTGATGCTGATGCTGATGGTGGTGGTGGTGGTGGTGATGGTGATTGTGATGGCGATGATGATATGGTGATGATAACGATGACGATGGCATTGCGTTTGCAGGGTTGGGGAGTTAACGTACTTACTAGTAGAAGTTAAGGTACTTACTACGATGCTTCTACCGAAACAAGTATGTTGTGAACATTCCTTGATGCCATGCAGCAACCAGGGCTGTGGGCTGCTCACTAGAGGAGTTAACGTACTTGCTGCATGCTATGCTTGCACGGAGACTCTCACGCATAGGTCTCAAAACAAACAGTATTAGCATAAAAAAGAAGGAAATCGTGTTGGCTGAAGGGAGGGAAAAAGGAGCGAGGGAGGGAAGGAAGGAAGGACGGCAGGAAGAAAGAAACGAAGGTCTATCTCCAAAATGTTGCAAAGGCCTTTCAGTTTACACATGTTACTTTTGAAGTGCTGCAAGACCCAGAAAATTTGCAAGTGTGGGTTACAAAATGTCGCAAGCACCGTGCAGTTCACAGATTTTAGCTGCAACATGCTGCAAGCACCATGCAAGTATGTGCAATGTTCAGGTGGTAATTTAAACATGTCGCAAATACGATGCCACGTGCAGCTTTGCGCTTCAGAAAGCCGCAAGATTGCATCCAATTTGCAATTGTTAATTCCATTTAATTTCAAACTGCTGCAAATACCATGTGGTTTACAAGTGAGAGTTGCAAAATGCTGCCAGCACCATACGATGCACAGATTTTAGCCCCAGTATGCTGTACATACCATGCAATCGATGTGTTTGGTTTCGACATGCTGCAAGCATTCTCCAGTTTATGTTTTTTTTCTGCTTCACAACGCTGCAAAATTAAAACACGGTTTGCAGATGCTAGTTCTAAAATGCTGCAAACATCATGCAATTTGCAGAGACTAGCTTTGCACCGCAGCAAAATATTGTGCAATGGCAAAGTGCCGTGCAATGTACGCATGTTGCATCATACCATGCAGCCTACAGGCGTTAGCTGCAAAATGTTTCAAATAAGAACAAATTTTGCGCAAGTATTACGCGGCGTAGAAATTCTAGCACCAGAACAATGCACAATATCGCCCACAGATGCTTTTACACAGAGGGATGCTTAGACACAGGGATGCTTTTACAGCAGGTGCTTTTACACAGAATGCCTTTACCAAAAACATGCTTTTGCACACAGGTGCTTTCACCCAGAAATGCTGTTAACAAAGCCGTGTTTTTACACAGGCGTTTCCACACATAGATGATTTACACAGAGATGCTTTTACACACAAATACTTTTACTCAGGGATGCTTTCTCACGGAGGAACTTTCACTCACAGCTTCGGCGCGGACATTCGAGTTGACGAGGTACAGACCTGCCTACGTCAATGACACTTCTCGCGCGGAGTAGCCTCTAAAGCCCCTGTCAAATGTATATATATATATAAATATATTTTTCTTTCTTACTTTCCTTCTTTCTTTCTCATATATATATATGTTTTTGTTACACGCCCATTATTTCTGTTTTCCTTTTTACTTTTTTCCCATTCCCTCAACATATGGTCTATCGTTGCCGCATTTTTCAAACTTTGGTCTCCTTCGGCCGTGCGCATCCGGCCCATTGTGATTTGCCCCGAAGGATGTGAAATATAGCACAGCCTGCAATGTTTAAATTAAAAAACTGGACATATTTTCAGGTTTCATGAAAATTGGGTTGAACAATGACGGGTTTTGAATTTCTGAGCAACAAGGGGTTCAAACACGGTTCAAACATGTTCTCAGACGATTTGTGCCTCTTTGCTTACGCAAGGCGATCTGAATTTCCGGCTCTCTGCAAAGAACATTGAGAACATCTCTCAGGCTGGATAGGTATGGGAAGCGGTAGGTTTTCATGAAGTCTTCTCAGTGGAAGCTTCGTTTTTTTAGTGAGGCTGTTGTTGTGATTTAAAAAAATGAAAACTGGTTTTACATCGATTTTTTAGTTCTTAGTGCGCACGTAGTGATTTTCAAACGGATTTTACACATGGAAAAAAAAGGGTCAAAATAGTCAAGTTGGTGATATGGCCCCACTCGGCTGGTGCTTCTTTTTCACCATTACCTGGAGAAATCGGCTGGGTCCCTGGGTGTTTCATATTGCAATGCCGCGAAGACCAGGAGCGATCGGGATGATGTATACACAATAGCCCCAATGTTTTTTCTATTTGGGGCTGGTTCTATTGTGAGCTGTGCCACGTCACTGGGCAGCTGCGGATGAGAACGACAACTCAAGTACGAATGGCCATATTGGGCACTTCATTCAGCGAAATTGCCCCCCTGTTGGTGACTCTAAAGACACAGATGAACTCGTTTCGAGTATATTTATAAGCATTAATCAAATTGAGGCCTGAACGGATGTATACAATGTACAACACACACACACACCCATACTGGCCGCCTGGCCCATACATGTATGTATGTATACACACATATATATATGTATGTAATGTATGTAAGTAAGTAATGTTATGTATGTATGTATGTATGTATGTAATGTTATGTATGTATGTAATGTTATGTATGTATGTAATGTTATGTATGTATGGTAATGTAATGTAATGTAATGTAATGTAATTTAATTATGTACGTATGTATGTATGTAAGTAAGTAAGTAAGTAATTAAGTAAGTAAGTAAGTAAGTAATGTTATGTATGTATGTAATGTTATGTATGTATGTAATGTTATGTATGTATGTAATGTTATGTATGTAATGCAATGCAATGCAATGCAATGTAATGTAATGTAATGGAATGCAATGCAATGCAATGCAATGTAATGTAATGGTATGGTATGGTATGGTATGTATGTATGTATGTATATAATATATATATATATATATATTGTACATACATCATGTACTATATATATGTATGTATGCACAAATATTTAACATTTTTCTGTTAATTGTGGTATCCCAGGTTCCCCTTTCGATTGATCCAGGACATGTCCATCCAAAGGGGATTCTTCTTGCAGGCGTACTTCATGGATTCCGAGGGTCGCAAGATGTTAGCCAAGAACGATCGGCTGAGTCAGTATGATCCCCGCATTTTCGGCGAGAAGCATGTGAAAAAACACCTTGCAACTTGGACCTTAGACGAAAAGTGGGGCTCAGAAACCTGACAAAGGCGTTTTCAGGGCGCCAAAAAAGGGGGGCCAAAAGGTGGAAGGAATACAGTAGGGACTGCTGGATCAGTAAGAAACCAGTGAAACAATTGGCTGGTGGTTTGAAATCATTTTCAATGTATTAACCCCAATGACAAACCTCCAATTTAGGGATTCGGTTTAGTTCATAAACCATCATTTTTTTCTCTAAGTCCTTAGGGGTGGTTTATCCTTGACAGCCAGGCTTTGCCACATTTTTTCCAATTTGGATAAACATTATCTTCAGTGACGATCCATGATCCCTTCGATCGGTGGCGATCTCGAGACAACGTCTGGTTCAGTCGAGTCAGTTCCACATCCTGGGCTGAACGGTTGAACTCACAGACCAATGGTGCAGTCATCCAGTGAAATTACATTCAGTTCCCAACCTGAAAAAACATGTGACTTTGGACTAGCTCAGCTAACTTAGCATCATTTCCAATGTCAACCGGGATGAATTTTCATACCCTCTGGTAAACTAACAGTTTGCTATTGAAAATTGCTATTTAGTTCGTTGATTTACCCATAAAACATGGTGATTTTCCATAGTTTTTGGTCTACCAGAGGGTACATGTCAACCTGGCGAAGAATTGCATACCCCCCAGCATGTGCATCTTTGGCCTAGGATGTCTTGGTGCCACTTAGCTGAGCTGGGGGGCTGGGCACGGCGCTGGTGACGCCAACATGAAGAGAATAGATTATGATCTACTGGTCTATAACCAGTTTAACTGGGATTTATGGTGATTAATTATGAACATTGCAACTATAGTCAAAACTGGGATTTATATATGGTGATTATAAACCATTACAACTAGATTTACATATCTGGTTGGTGGTTTCAAACACATTTTTGATTTTTCCATTTCATATATGGGATGTCATCCTCCCAATTGACTTTCATATTGTTCAAGATGGTTAAAAACCACCAACCAGAAATAAGGGAACAATAACAACCAATAATTGGTAATGATCTATCATTACCACTATTTTTTAACAACCAATGATCACCTTAGACAAGCAATAGCTAATGACCAATAACAAGACTTAGCTTACCAGTTAAGTTTGTCTAAGGTTTTTTTTACTTTCCTCAATGGGAGATTCACCATGACTGGAGAATCCATTGTTTTTTTTAAATGTTCTATGTACTTTAACTTCGCCCGATAAAAAAAT